TTTGCTCATTTGTTTTGTTTCTTAAATTCCACATGTGAGTGAGATCATATAAGATCATTGTCTTTCTCTGACGGACTCATTTCATTTAGCATAATACTTAGTTCCATCCATGTCGCTGCAAATGGCAAGATCTCATTTTTTTAAAAGATATTTATTTATTTATTTGAGAGAGAGGGAGCACAAGTCGGGGAAGCAGCAGGGGGAGAGGGAGAAGCGGACACCCTGCTGAGCAAGGAGCCTGACCGCGGGCTCAATCCCAGGCTCCCAGGATCATGGCCTGAGCTGAAGGCAGACACTTAACCGCCTGAGCCACCCAGGCATCCCAATCTCATTCTTTTTGATGGCTGAGTAATATTTCATGGTACATACATGACATCTTCGTCCATTCATCAGTCAGTGGACATTTGGGCTCTCTCCATAGTTTGGCGATTGTTCATAATGCTGCTATAAACATTGGGGTGCGTGTTCCCCTTCGAATCTGTATTTTTGTATCCTTTGGTTAAATATGCAGTAGTGTGATTGCTGGGTTGTAGGATAGCTCTATTTTTAACTTTTTGAGGAACCTCATGGGGAAAATGGGAAGTCTCTAGGAACCATGCTCCCGTGTCCACCCTTCTTTGCAAGGGGACTATCCTGGTGTCTGGGTCCCAGAAGAGCACAGAAGGGGTGGCTTACTAACAATAGAAACTTTACTTCCCAGAGCTCTAGAGGCTAGGAGTCCAAGATCAAGGCGTCTACAGAATTGGTATCGGGAGAGCCGGCTTCCTCATTCGCAGACGGCCACCTTTCGGTGGCCTCCTCCCATGACAGAAGGGGCAAGGGAGCTCCCTGGAGTCCCTTTTACAAGAGCAGCGGTGTGAGGTCTCCCCCCACCGCAGGACCTGAGCGCCTCCCAAAGGTCCCACCACCAAACACTGTCACATCGTGCATTAGGTTCAGTATATGAGTTTCGGGGGGGACACAAGCGCACCCTCCGCAAGGGCAACCTAGCTGTGCTTCCCAACCAGAGATGGTTGGAGCCTGTCTCTCCAGCCTCTCGAGTCCTGGCCGGGCTCGTGACTTGTTCTAGTCAGTATAATGTGGCAGGAGATGATGTGGTGTGAGTTCTGTGGACAACGTCAAGGGCTCTGGCCCTGGGGCCCCCTTCGTTTCTGATCTTGTGCTCCCGGAGCCAGAGGCTGCACTGCTGTGAAGCAGCCCCGGTGGGGCGTGAGCAAGCCACGTGAGCGGGGACGCCCCCACCCCCCCCGCCCGGCCTGCAGCACGTGGGGGAGTCCGGGAAAGAGCAGCCCAGGGTCCACCCGGGTTGGCGAGCCACTGAGTCAAGAGAAACGAGAAATCATTGTTGTTTTTTTACCATGAAGTTTTGGGGTGGATTTTTACATCGCAGCAGATAAGAAACCAGAGCAGATGGTGATCTTTCAGTGGATTACGAAATCAATTTTCTGGGGGCAAAGACAGCATACAAAATAGAAGGCAGCAGAATAGAACATGTAACAGTGCGTGTGGGACACAGAGTTCCAGTCGTCCGCTGCCATGTAAGAAAGCGCCCCAAAAGTTCATGAGAAAAACCAACCAGCGTACCGTGCTGCGACATCGGGGATGGCGAGTTTGGACAGGGCACAGGGCAGCTCATTTCCGTTTCCAGTGGAGCCTCGGCCGGGCTGGCTCAGATGCTTGGCCGTATGTCTGGGGCCTTGGTTCTCACTGTTGGGGGAGATTCTTGCTCTTTCTCCCTGGCCTGTCTCCGGGGACCAGGATGTCCAGTGTGGCTCCCTCACTTATGAGCCGGGCACATCCAACGGGACGGGAGGAACCTCTGGGGTCTCACCGTCCACGGCCCCTCCGTGCGGCTCACTTGGGCTCCCTTACAGCAGGGTGGTTGGTCCCTGGGTGGTTGGACTTTCCTACTTGGGGGCTGGTTTCTGTAAGGCTTCTGATGGCCTCACTTCAGGGGTCCCCGAGCGTCACCTCTGCACAGTCCCGTGGTCAGCCACGCCAGTGAGGCCGGCGCAAGCTTAAGGGGAGGGCTTAGACTCCACCTCCAGATGGGAGTTGTCACAAAGGACCTGTGGTCCATCATAACTGGGACGCTCTTCACCAAGCCTGACACGTCACTGCTTCCAGGACACATCCTGCCTTCACACGTATCAACCCAGGCGCCCCTTCCCCAATATTATTTTAAAGCAAATCCCAGGCACTTTATTATTTCATCCATAAAACCTGGGGAATACAGAGGTACCACGTGCCCTTTGTGTTGTAATTCCAATCCCAGCAACCCACTTGGCTGGCAATAAGTAATGCTAAAATTCTCATCGCCCTTAAAGAGATGCCAGTAGATAAATCCTAAGATTGATGAGCCCGGAGCCCACACTAAGCACACGTTACTTAGGAGGAAGGCAGGAGGGGAGGAGCGGGAGCAAGGACAGCAGCCGCTGCTGTTTTTCTTGAAATGATGAGGCTGCTGTTACTTTGCTTAAAACATTAAAGGGGCGCCTGGCTGGCTCCATCGGTGGAGCATGAACCATCTCAGGGGTTGTGAGTTCGAGCCCCGGGTTGGGTGTAAAGATTGCTTAAAATCTTAAAAAAATAAAAATTAAAAATTAAAAAGAAAATCGGGTGATGGAGAACCGATGACTCAAATCTCTTCAGCCTTGTAAGTTGTGTAATGTCACAATTCCTCGGTGACACTGCTTTTGTTTAATTAAAAAAAATTCAAATTAATTTACATTACTTTTATTTTAATTAAACATTTTAAAAACTGCTTTTAATTTTAGGAGAGCATTCTGGGCCGTGGAGCGGAAGCCAGGAAGCCCAGGCTGGTGGCTGCCCCTCATCGCGAGCAGAGGACCGTGTTCTGTTGGCTTCCTCAGAGGAGGGCCGGTGAGACCTGTTTAAAGTATTCAAGATGAGCCCCACCTCAGCCCGGGCCTCGGGACAGCGGCCACGTGGGGGCAGTCAGGGTGCCCTCGCACAGCTCCGTCCGTATGGTGCGCCGCGAAACCCGTCCGGGGGGCCCCCCACGTGCCTGCACGTGTGAGCAGCGGCTCTATGGGACACAGGCCTCCCGCAGCCTCCCGCGCCCCAGCACAGCCGGCATCCAGGCGGGCGCTGCTTCCTCCCACTGGCGGGCGGGACCGTTAGTTGGGGCGTCAGGGTCTCCCCTGCACACCCAAGTGGCTGCCCTGAGCAGGTCCTCCACAATAACCTCCAGGTGGTTATTGAAATTGCTTTTAAATAGAAAAGAGACACCCTCCGCCCTTCACCACCACCAATTTGTGGCGGGGCGATGCTCGGCACCCTCAAGTTCAAAGATCAACGACGAGTAAACCCGTCTGCACGCAGAGCTCCCCTTGATTATTTTACAGTCCTCCGCTCTCTCCCCGGCCAGTCTCTGAGCCACTCCCTCCCCAAATCTCCGCTCACACTGCCCTTTGTGTGACCAGTCCTGTTCCCTGGGGGGGTGGGGCTCGTCCTCCCCACCCTGATGTCTCCAGAAGAAATGTCCAGGGTGAGGCGGGCTGACCGGCGGCCCCCCGGCGGGCACCTCTCTCTCCAGACCTCGGGAACCCGTGAATGGGGCTTCATTTGGAAAAGGGGTCTTTGTAGATGCAACTACGCGACAGAGCTTGGCGACCGTCCTGGATTCCCCGGGCAGGCCCCTGACAAGTGTTCTTACGAGCGGCAGAAGGTGAGCGAGCCCAGGAGGACGGCGTGGAGACGGCAGCCACAGGAGCTGGAGAACCCGTCCACGTGCCCAGGACGGAGTCCGCACACAGCCAGGAGTAAAACCCAAGCCCACAGTTACCTCCAGAACCCCCGACGCGAGACACGAACGAGGGGCTTCGGGGCGGCGGTGGGAGGAGCCCTCAGTGGGAGCCCGGGGCCATGGGTGTGGGAGGCGCAGACCCAAGCCGGGCAGCCCGCGCCTTCTCGGAGCAGCAGAACCTCCCGGACGGCGCTTGCTGCTCTCCTCCATGGACGTTTGTCTCTCAGGCATAAAGGGAATCGCCAAATTTTTTTAATGAAACACTTGCACCTTAACGAATCTGTGACAAGTTGGGTTTCCAGAAATGCCCGAGGCTTGCCTGGCTGTGGTCGGGGACAACGGAATGTGCGGTTAAAAAGGCAAGGAGTCTCCGCACTGTTCCAGATCTCACGCTTAACGCCCAAGAAGTAGGAAATGCAGAAAATAAGGCTTCCCCTGAGCTCGGTAAGCTCAGCCGGCACAGGTTCGACATAGGAAGACGCGAGGGAACCCAGCTGTGGCCTGGCGGAGACGGGGACCAGCCGGACTCATCCCCGGGAGGAGGACCCGCTCGCTCAGAGCTGGAGCGGTCAGCGCTGGTGGCGCAGGCAGGGCGGGTCGGTGAACTCCCAGCCACGTTCCTCGCAGGGCCCGCCCCGTGGGGCCACAGTGGGCGGTGCCAGCCACTGGGCTCAGCGCCCCCTCCCCCCAGGAGACCCCCATTGGGGGTCCCAGAGTTGGCTCGCCCTCCGAGCTCCTGCGTGAGAGCTGGGGCGGTGGCCACCCCCCGGGGAATCCTCTTCCAGCCCTGCAGTCGGGTGGGCCCCGCCTGAGCCGGTGCACCTGCCCCCTCCCCTCTGCCTGCTGCAGGAGGCGCCCCCCACCTCGGTTCCCAGGGGCCGAGGTAAGTGGAAGGACGCAGCCCTGGGCACCTCTCGTGACCGCGTGGGGAGAGCAGCAGGAGAGTAAAGCCCCCACGGAGGACGGCCCGGGGACGAGCAACAGTGCTGAGCACGCGCACACGCCCCCGCACCTCCTCCGGGCCCTGGAGGAGGCCAGTGAGACCGAGAGATGGAGTCGCTGCGCCTCTGGAACCGAGGGCACAGACCCCGGGTCCTCCTCTGGGTGGCGCCCCATCCTACACCTGCACCGCGGGGCTGTTTGGGTCTCCGAGCTGCTCTGCACACCAGACGCCCTGGGGGCCCGCAGGGGGGGGGGGGGGGGAAGCACGGAGTCGGCGCAGAACGGCAGCTGGTTCTCAGTACCCTTTATTGGCAGTGGAAAATGCTTCAGGACTGTATTGAAAGACAGCAATAAATAATACTGTGATAAAAACAGTTCAAAAGTAGACTGTACATACTTTGTTACATAATCAGGAAGTTCACAAAAGATTAATAGAAAAACAGGACGGTAACAGTGAATTGTACAAGTAAATTAAAAGCAGAAACCAAACGTAAGGACATGCCGTTTCTATCTATGTATCAGCTGCATAATAAATAATGCACCATGATGTGAACACATTTCTTGCTGGCTTTTTAATACGCCAAGTAGAAAGTAAGAGTTACATTTGCTACTTATACAATCCAAAACGGCTATCTCATCAAAATCTAAAAATGTACGACTAGGTCCATTCTTTAAACATGTTTACAAACAAATGTAAAAAGATGATTTCCATAAGAACAGTAAGGCCTTTGTTAGAATTGCACTACATTATTTCGGGGGGGGGGGGGCGCAGTGCTTCCTGATTGGTCCTCTAAGAGTTCTCGCCAGCGAGCTCCGCACCAGGAGGGCACCCAGGCCCCCCGCCCAGGGCCCCCCCCTCCCCAGGCTCTCAGGGTCCTCAGCTCGCGGCTTCAGCCAGTCGCTAAACACAGGCTGCCGGAGCCCACCAGGACAAGCCTATAAAGAGTTCACCAGTCCTAAGAGATTTTCATAGTCTTTCCAGTCCAAATTTTCAGAAGCTGATATTTAACACCAGATATTTTTAATCTGTTCAGGCTATGGTATAAAGCATTTCTTGCTAGAAAAAGTATAGTTAAGGTCAGTCATTAAAATACAACAACAATTGCTTGAAATGAAGTCTGCTGATTTCAAAATGATTGTTGTAGAGCTAGGTTTTGTTTGATAACACACGCTGTGTCATGATGATTTTACAAATGCGGTAGAATCCTTCTCTCGGTCAGGGTTTATTAATAACAAATTAAGTAATGATAATTACAATAAATGCACAATTTACAAAAGCCCTATATTTGTTCATAGGATTTATACATACAAGCATTACAGTACATTCATTTGAAAGACTAAATTAGATATAAGAACACGAATTGATTTGAAAGGATATTTATAGCCTGGATATACATGAAAAAGTAAGTAACTATATAAATGAAGTCATAAGTTTACATAAATATAAGAAACATTAAATTCTAAAATATTTTCTCTATAGTATTCATGAATTTTTCGCTAATTAAAAACTCTGTAATAAAATATCTCAGGGTCCATATAACAAGTATTAACAGATTAAAGATTCCGTTGAATTTTAAAATGTAGTCTTTGTGGGATTCAAAGTGGTGCATGATCATCTGTAGAAGTAGTGCGGGTAAACTGGAAAAGAAAAACAAACAAAACAATCAGTCTTAAGCCACCTAACAGTGACTTCCGGGCCCGGGCAGGCCCCAGCACACCTCCCCTCCCGCCCTGCGCTTTAGCCCCTCTGAGAAGTCAGAGAAAACATCAAACATTTTGCTTATCAATGATTGACTTCATTTTGGCCTTTGATTGACTTCATTTTGGCCTATGTCCAAAAGTAACCAATTTTTAAAAAGGATGGAAAAAACAAGTATTCTTTTTTTTTTTTTTAAGATTTTATTTTTAAGTAATCTCTACAGCCAACTTGGGGCTCGAACTCAGGAGCCTGAGATCAGAGCCGCCTGTTCCAGCGACCGAGCCCGCAGGGAGCCCCCAACAATCACATACTCTGGCCGAGACAGGAAAACAGTGAGAGCAAACAGAGCTCCCCCAGGGCCCTCGGAGCAGGGAGAAGAGGGCCAGGCTCGTGGGCCTGCACCCGAAATTTCACAAACTCAGCCCCTCTCATGGTAATGCACTTGGTTTTTGTTTTGGGTTTTTTTTTAGACCAACCCCTTAGGGTGTCTGGGTGGCACACCCGGTGGAGCATCGGACTCCTGGTTTTGGCTCAGGGCGTGATCTCAGGGTCGTGGGATCGAGCTCGGCATCGGGCTCCAGGCTCAGCGCAGGGTCAGCTTGAGAGTCTCACTCTCTGCCCCTCCCCCACCGTTCACGCATTCCTGGGCACACGCTCTTGCTCTCCCGCAAATAAGTATCTTGGAAAAAACCCCAATCTCCCGGTTGAAAGGCTATCAGTGTCACACGGTGGTTACAGTCTCATGAAACAATACTTTGGGGCCCGGTTCATTCAAGACCGCATCTGTAAAAGCAGGCCGGCCAGCAGCAGTGGCCCGGGCGCCCCACCAGGTGCACGCAGACGCCGAGGCCCGAGAGGCTGTGACCCGCTGGGGACAGTCCGCTAAGAGCCGGGCGATGCTCTCTTGTGCTCTCCCGCCTCCCCCCACCACCCCGAAGACAGCAGCAGATGTGGGAGCCAGCATCTTTGTGTTTAAGGAAAGAATGGAAATACATGTCTTCCCTTAAGAATCAAGGACACACTAGCCTCTCCAGGTTAAGCGTGAGCATCCAGAACACCAAAGTCCCCTCCACGGGCGCCGAGGGCTTGTGCGCGTGCGTCTGGTCAGCTTCCTGAGCTCACGGGGCCGGCTCTCCCAGCTACTCACCTACAGGAGGCGTCAGCAGGAGTAAGTCCTGACTGTGGCAGAATCCAGCCTCTGAGGTCCTGACACGCCACCTGCTCCGACGACCACGACGGGAGGCGTGCAAACACAGCATGCAGTTAGTCTCAGAGCGCCGCACGGCCGCACAAGCACACACGCACACTCACGCCCACAGCAGCCCCCACGGAGGGGCTCCCGGGGGCTTCCGAGCGGGACCGGAGGCGCCCAAGGAGGGGAACCGAGTCACCGAGTGGGCTTGTCCCCATCCCCCGAGCAGCCCGGGGGTCCGTGGGGCAGCAGGTGACAGGAAAGCAATTCTGCCACACACATCTGCATTGTAACAACTATGAACATGGTGACTGTTTCTCCTGAAAGCCTCCAGACTTACAGGCTTTTCTGGACTTTTTTGCAGCCCAGCAGCAATGTGAGCATTATCAGCCCGCTAAAGGGAGTCGGGTGCCTGTCCCGCTGCCCCCTCTGTCTGAGAAGGATGGCCTTACCCTCCCGGCAGCAGGTGCGGGACGATGACTGAGCCAAGGAAGCCCAGGCCCAGCCTCCCTTCCAGCCGGAAACGGCGCGCACCACAGATGCTTTTGTTCTATCAAGAAACCATCCGCGGGGCTCACTAGGTTTTTCCAACTCTGTAGCAGCTGTGGGCTGCTCCCAACTACAAGCCCTGTCTCCCCACAGGCTGCCGGTACCCTGCCCTGGGTCCAGAGAGCACGTGGAGAGAGCTGGGGCTGCTGACGATGGCAGCCGTGGCCCCGGGCCAGGAGGCCTGTGGCTGCCCCCGGACACGCCAGAACACCCGCTGGGCCGGGTTTCCGCCTCCGCCTCCGTTAGCAACGTGGGTAAGAGCTCACCTTCCACGGGCTACGCTCCCTATGCCTTTTTCCAGGGTTATGTTTCATTTACCTGAACTGTAATCCAAATGTCGCTGTTAACATTTATAATAAGGAAAAGGTGACTTGTGAAACGAAGCTGACAGCAGCTGAGACCAGGACAGCAGGCCGACTGCCCAAGAAGTCTAAGACTAAGTTACAACTAAAATCTATAAAAATTACCTACAGGCTTCTTGAAGAAGAACGCTATTTTTTTTTTTTTTAAGTTGAGTTTTTCCCTCGTTAAGCATAATATTGAAGTCTGGCGAAGAGATGGCTTTTTAAATAAAAACGCTGCCCAAGGGCGCCTGGGTGGCTCAGTTGGTCAAGCGACTGCCTCCGGCTCAGGTCATGATCCTGGGGTCCCGGGATCGAGTCCCGCATCGGGCTCCCTGCTTCTCCCTCTGACCCTCTCCCCCCTCATGCTCTCTATCTCGTTCTCTCTCTCAAATAAATAAAAAAATCTTAAAAAAAAAAAACGCTGCCCAATAAGCTGCTTTCACTCAAAGCTCAGCAAAGGCTTTATAGAAATTACTTTTCTCTGGTTTGTATGCGGGCAGCGAGAGCAGAACTCACAACCCTAGGTTCAGGCAGAGCTAAGGCAGGAAAATGGTAAAAACCACACCGTACAACTTCTACAACCACGTCCTTCCCTATAGCCTATCCATCCACGTCCGCCGAGAGCGAGCGCGCGGCCGCCCGTCACAGGCCTACGACGGCAGGGCCCCCGCGGCCAACACACACAGCACTCAGGATGCGCCAGACACTTGCCAACAGCTTCCCGCAAAGGACTCACCGCCACAAGCAATCAGTGAGGAAGACACCCGTGCGACAACCACTCTACAGATGGGGACACTGAGGCACAGTGCTCAAGGTCATGCGCCTTCTGCATGGCAGAGCCAGATTCCAGCCCAGGTGGTCTGACCCTCCATCCTGTCACTAAGTGGGACACGGTCAGAGCGGAGAGGTCCCTCCGCAGACCACGGCCAACTCTTCACTAGCGGTGGTCTCGAAGCAGAGGGACCGTCCAGGGATAACTGCACCCCAATCTGACACAGTGACTCTACAGCCGGTGTGCTCAACAAGACCAGCCACACTCTGAGGACAGCCAGGCTCCCCTTCTTCCGTCTCCCCGTCCCCTTATAACGTATAACGACACGGACAAGCGAGAGCAAGGACGAAGGTGGAACTGTGCCGATTACCATGGACTGAGTCACTCCTCCAGCGTGGAGAAAAGTCCTAGGGGTAAGGGACGTGGTCTGAAAGCCCCTGTGCTGCTCTCTGAGGGCAGAGCCCTTGAGGCCACACGAACACGTCTCTGCAAGTGTGGATGCCGGTCCAACGCTCTGAGGACGCACATGCTGCTTAGCTTTATTAGTTGGAAGAATATACTAATATTCAACCAGATAAGAACTTAAAATATCTGTATCGTTGTAAAACTTTTCTACACAGATGTTAGGATTAATTTTACAGCATGTAAACCTGGGCATGCAACAGCCCCCACACACTTGTTACGGATTAAAGAGGCCGTCCTGACCACTATTAATGTTCCAGCCAAAAAGCTGCTCGTGCTGCCGACAGGTGGGCGGGGGAGCACGGTGCATCACGTACCGTCCAGCTGCATCTTCTTTGGCTGCATAGAGGGTGAGGACAGAGAGGAAGTGACCCGGAAATTTGCAGGGAGAGTCTCTGCTGACCCAGCAGCTAAGCCACGAACGTCCTTTGGTCTAAACTTTTTTCTCCAAGAAGGTGCCCTCCTAAAGCTTTTATCATCGTCCTGGTAAATTAAAGGACAGAAAACAAGACTGACTTTAAAATACAGGACAAAATACACAGTAAAGTTACCAGCCCTTTAAAATGTCCTTGTCCCTGCATTTTTGTTCACATGTATCTAACCCCATTCTTTTTTGATTTTTTTTATTTATTTGACAGAGAAAGAGAGCACAAGCAGGGGGAGTGGCAGGCAGACGGAGAGGGAAAAGCAGGCTTCCCGCTGAACAGAGAGCCTGACTTGGGGCTCGATCCCAGGACCCCGGGATCATGACCTAAGCTGAAGGCAGACGCTTCACTGACTGAGCCCCCCAGGTGCCCCTCTGACCCCATTTTTGATAACCATCAGACTTCCTGCCCAGACTGGGAACTTCTGGGAGTAAAAGGAGGCAGGGCCACCCTCATGCTGGGACCCCAGCTGGGCACAAATCAGGATAGTCCTGGGCCACCTGGGTGTGCTCTCTCTGCCACCATGTGTCGCTTCTTATCCCGCAGAAATCAGCTTCTTGCTATGTAAGATACTGCATTTTTGTCTTCAAAACAGTCTTCAGGCTGGGACAGGCCAGCAGTGCCCGGCAGGTGTCCTGTTCCTGCCACCCTCAAATGTTCGCATGGCGACGGAGACAGTAACACGTCGCGGTGCGAAAGGACATGAATCATGGTTTCGAATGAGGAGAAATGAATGGGTCCTGTGTTTTTAAATAAACTTCTGAAACATTCTGCCAGAGCACAAGGGGCCCTGGATGGGGCTGAGGTATCCAGCTGTCCCAAAACACAACTTACAGACTCTATGCCTCGGCTGCAACCAAAGCTTTATGATGCGAAAAACATTTCCGAAGGATAGCAAAAGTTAAATAGCAGAAATTAAAAACAAACAAACAAACAAAAAAAAAACCTCCCCATCGTCGTGAAAATATTGCTTTCTTAATAGCTCATTTGTTAATAAATTAAGAGCAAAGCTTAACTTGTAAAGTAAAATTATCTCCACATTTGGAAGAGTTATCCAGACTACATGGCTCCTACAAATATGTATTAATTTACTTTCTTTCTTCATTTATTTTTAAAGATTTTACTTTTAGGTAATCTCTATACCCAATGTGGGGCCCAAACCCACAACCCTGAGATCAAGAGTCGCACACTCTACCAAACTGAGCCAGGCTGGTGCCCCCAAATATAACAATATTTGGGGTGACCCCAAATATAACATTTAATGCAAATTTAAAAATCTTTAGGCTGAAAACTTACTTCATCAAACCTTCGGTCAGTCCCTATGACCAAAAGGTTGTTAAACTCTCTTTCCAAGACAGCACGAGCCTGAAATCATAACAAAACAACCCCCCTTAGTGATATGCTAAGGATGTTAGCATATCAGTTATTTTTAAACCAAGACTTAAACAAACAACTCAAAGGATGAATGCTGTGAACACCACAGGGTACTTTAAGTCAGGGGTTTTAATGGGAGACGCATTCGCGGGCTTTGGGAGGTGGGATCCGTGAGCTCCTGGGACATTATGTAGCAAGTGTGCCGTGGAGGCCGCTGCTGGTAGGGAGGTTGAGGGTACTGGCAAAAGATATACAATGTTCTGTAGAAGAATAAAAACATTCCTGATTCTCCAATGAGCCCATGAATCAAAAAGGACACAGGGAAATGAGAAACAGAATTCCTGAGACCTCCGTGCGGCACACTTTAGTAAAAGCATCTCTCTCTCTCTCTCTCCTCTGCCACTCTACAGGCACCCGGCGTGGACGCAGGTCTCGCGCAGGTGGTTTACTCCAGGACATGGAAGGACAGGCAGACATGAGGAGGAGCTAACAAGCACTGTGGGCTTTGAGCCGCCGCATCAGGGATGAGGCAGGGGGAGACAGGACTGGCTGGCTGGGGGTTTGGTTACGCTCTCTCTGCCTCCACTCAAATGCGGAGCGCAGTGCTGGCGGGAGGGCGGGGTGCGGGCGTGGCCGGCATCACCTGCGTGTTCTGTGTCGGGATCTGCAGCAGGAGCGCCAGGGCGTTGGCATCGAAGGTCTCATCCAAGGCCATCAGCGCGCCGTGAACGCCACTCTCGATGAGATTGTTGGCGTATTCTTTAAGGCCGATCGATAGGATCCAGCGAATCACTCGATCATTGCTCCAAACTAGCACATCTGCAGATGAGTGAAAACAATGCTCAAAGGGGCTGCAGAAAGCTCGTTTCACCGCGTTCGCCCCGTAACACAGGATAAAGATCCACCCGCAGGCCCCGAGCCTCCAGTTCCTGACACAAGACGCGAGCTGCATGGGCCCCGGGGGCACTGCCAGGTGGGCAGACGGCCTCTGCTGCACCCGCACACCGCCGTCCTGGCCCTTGGCTTGTCCAGTGGAGACCGTCCTATTGGAACTCAGCCTTCGAGTGAGCCCTGGAGCAAGGAAGTTATTACACACACCGAGTTTCTAGAGAATAGAAAGCGATGGGGGCCCAGGCTTCGGAAACCAAAAGGACACACCAAGAACCTGAATGCCCAACCAGGTACGAATGTGCGCTGCCTACAGACTTCAGGACTTCTGAAATACTCTCCTCCCATCAGAGGCGTTGGCCCTGGAGCCGGGCACCTTGTGATTCAACGCAAACCCCTCACAATCTCAAAGACTTTTTGTTATCGCATTTTAAAAACAGAGAAATTGGAAGATATTCTCCAGCGTATTAGAGACTTGGGGGGGGGAGATCTAGTATTTATGCCAAGTAATAAATTATTAAATTTGCTCTAGTAGAGATCTAAAAATAGCCACCCTGTAAAAATACATCCAGATGATCACCAGTTACTTTCAAAGACAGCTTTTGTCAACTCTGAAAAGATTTAAGATGGAAATACAAAACAAATGGAACAGATTTGCGTATCTCATTTCCCACCTCCTTTTCTAGATAAAAGGACAGATACACACACACACACACACACACACACACAGAGCCATAAAATATTTAGAGATCATTACTATATTTATATGTTAAATGTATTACATTATGTGTGTATATAGAACATATATTACAAATGTAGCTTATGGTTTTTCTTGTGATTCACACTAACTCAATCATGGCTAGACTATCCTTCAAATGGGCCATCTCCCCAACCATATTTTTATCTTTAATTTCTGTCTTAGTAAAGACAAGAGATGAAAAACAGCACTTACAGGACTGTGGTCGTAAGGATTACATAAATTAACCTATATGCTTAGAGTTGGTCAAGAGGTCTCATCTGCTATTACCATTCTTAGTGATTTCTTTATACTGAAAATTTGGGGAGATTTTACTTGGAGCTTAATCGTTAACATCTTATTTCAAAGCAAACTACTACACCTGCTCACTTAAAGGTGTCCTGGGTGGGTGGCTCCCCAGCAGAGAAGAGCATCTGCTGCCTCCTGGCTGTGCACCCTTCTCCCCTTACACCCTCCGCCTATTTTCTACCTGAAATATTTCTGCCAGCCCCCTGACCCCAAGAAGAGGCTCCCACCCTGTCTTTAGGGCCCAAATGCCATGTTAACCCTGCACTGCGCCCTCAGCCATGGGAGCAGAACCACACTGTTCTATTCTGGGTCCCTCAAGGATAGAGCAATATTTTCCAGACTTCCACCAAGCAGCACACAGTGGGGGCCTGTTCACCTCTGCTCTGTTGCTATCTAGCGGTGTGTAGGAGCATTTCTGAACAAAAGAGGACATGTGTCGTCACGAGATGAAATGTCTGAGGTCACCGGAAAAATGCTTACCTTGAGACCCCGACCTTACAGACTGACGTAAGCACAAGGAAATGGGCACAGGGGAGGGTCTTAGAGGCACACAGTTCATCCCTCCCTCCTCTGTAATGATGCCAGACGAGTTTTCTCCACTTAAAGCCTTTCCTGATTTTTTTATTTTATTTATTTTTAATTTCTTTTTAAAATTTTGTTTTTAAGTAATCTCTACACCCAATGTGGGGCTTGAACCTACGACCCTGAGATCAAGAGTCACAAGCTCCACCAACGGAGCCAGTTATTTTTTAACTTATTTTTAATTTTTTTTTCCTTCCAGTTTTATTTTTTAATAGGCAGTCATTGAACTGTTAGCACCGTGGGAAGCAGAAATATGCTGCATCCATTACACATAATGTACTAGCCTTTTATTTCATTCTGGCTTTCTTCTCTTTTTCTCTCCAGTTCTTTTCGGTCATAATTTAACCTCCGCAGGCACATAATTCCACACTGGAAACTGTTTCTATTACAAAAAAAAAAAAAGTTAGCCGTGGCAACAGTGCAAACTCCCTGAGCTAATTGGTCAGGACCATCCTGTGGGACGCACCTGTGGAAACTGTCGACCATCTTCAGCTGCCCGCGCAGGTCCTTCTTGGTCAGGTGGTCCAGCATGCGTGCGTCCACCAGGCACTCCATGAAGTAGCTGCGGTACTGCGCCAGGCCCAGGCTGGGCAGCCACTCATTGCCAATCCACTCGTGGTTCATGTCCCCATAGGCCAGGGTCTGGTTGCAATAATTAAGCACATCAGTTCAGAAGAAAAGCCATGGAAGAGGTCACAAGGGTCATTTAAATAATTTTTAAACTGGATTTTTCAATCTGTTACCTATTCTCAAAGGCTAAACTAATAACATTGTTCTTTATAATTTCAAAATAACTTGATCTCCTATTTACTCTTAAATTGTTAGTAACATTTTCTACAAAGGGAATTACACCATGAAGAGTCTATGACTTGTGCTAATGAATTTAACACATTTACCAAAGCACAACAAAACTGGTTACACATTGTCTCTTTGAGCTAGTTTTCATGTATAATGATACAACCACAAAGAACGATCACGGCTCATGAACAAGTTTGAAGGATCAATCCAAGTCTACTCAGTAAAAATATCTCTGGCTGGCTTTCATTTTATTTTTAACATTTTGTTTTCTGTATTTCCTTAATAAAACATGTTAATTTCAAAATCAGGTTTAAAAAAGTGAATTAAAACACAAATTGAAAGGAGATGAACACGGTAAGACTGAGAGGAGAGACGGTCAGGAGACCTCCCCCCCCCCATTGTTTGGTAACGGACTGAGCACCTGAGCCAAAACGACTGGCTCACATAGATGGAGAAGCCCGGAAGCAGCAGCCTCAACTAACCCAATGGATGTGAGAGAGCGCTCCACCCAAAAGCAGCGCACACGGAATATTCTCCAAAACAGACAAAGCTCCATGTATTCAAAGAGACTAAAATCATACCAAATATATCTCCTCTGACCTCAAGAAAATTAAATTAGAAATCCATAAAAAAGACATCTAGGGGGCGCCTGGGTGGCTCAGTTGGTTAAGCAACTGCCTTCGGCTCAGGTCATGATCCTGGAGTCCCGGGATCGAGTCCCACATCAGGCTCCCTGCTCAGCGGGGAGTCTGCTTCTCCCTCTGACCCTCTTCCCTCTCATCTCTCTATCTCTCACTCTCTCTCAAATAAAGAAATAAAATCTTAAAAAAAAGACATCTAGAAAACCCCCAAATATTTGGAATTAGCATACTTCCAAATAACCCATGTGTCAAAAGAAGAAATCACAAGGGAAATGGGAAAATATTTTGAACTAAATGAAACTGAACATGCAAGGGACACCTGGTTGGCTCAGTCAGTGGAGCATGCGACTCGATCTCGGGGTTGTGAGATCAAGCCCCACACATTGCATGTAAAGATCAATTAAAAACAAAATCTTAAAAAAAAAAAGTGTACACACAATCATAAATTGTGGGACAAGGCTTGAGCAGTGTCTTGAGGGAAATTTACAGTATTAAGTACTTATAAGTGAAGGTCATAAATCAATAAAGTAAGGTTCTACCTTTAAAAACTTGAAAAAGAACAAATGAAATCCACAGCAAGCAGAAATCAGTGAAACAGAAACTAGAAAAATGATAGAAAATAAAATGAGGAAAGTAAAACCTGGACCTTCATAAACATCACTGAAATCGACAGGCCCCTACCCAGAAAGAACAAAGTTAAATCACCAACATCAAGAATTAAAGAGGGGGCATCAGTACAGACCCTACAGGCACTGAAAGGGTAATATGGGAAAACTGTGGACAGCTGTAAGCAACCTGGATAAAATGGGCAAATTTCATGAAAGACATAATCTATGAGAGCCACTCAGTAAGAAACAGGTAACCCGTACCTAAACTTGAATTTGTAGCTATAAACCACACAAGCATAAGCACACATGGTGCACATACACTCAATCTCTACTCTAAATGCCTTCACTGGTGAACTCTACCAAACATTTATGAAAAAATTACCAATTCTACACAAACTATTACAAAAAAGTGAAGAAGAAGAAATATCTAACTCATTCTACAAGAGCAGCATTGTCCTGACACCAAAACTGGACACATTTCAAGAAAACTACAGACCAATAAATATCCCTCTTAGACACAGAAGCAAATTTTCCTTAACGAAGTATTAGCAAATCAAATTAGTAATAAATTAAAAGAATAAGGTATTATGACAAGTGGGGTTTATCCCAGGAACATAAGTTGGGTCAATATTTGAATGTGCACAATAGCCAAACTGTGGAAAGAGTCGAGATGCCCTTCAACAGATGAATGGGTAAAGAAGATGTGGTCCATATATATAATGTCCAATGGAACATGACTCAGCCATCAGAAAGGATGAATACCCAACTTTTACATCAACATGGATGGGACTGGAGGACATGATGCTAAGTGAAATCAGTCAAGCACAGACGGTCAATTATCATATGGTTTCACTTATTTGTGGAACATCAGGAATAGCAGGGAGGACATTAGGAGAAGGAAGGGAAAATGAAGGGTGGGAAACTGGAGGGGGAGACAAACCATGAGAGACTATGGACTCCGAGAAAAAAACAGGGTTTTAGAGGGGAGGGGGGTGGGGGATGGGTTAGCCCAGTGATGGGTATTAAGGAGGGCACGTATTGCTTGGAGCACTGGGTGTTACACGAAAACAATGAATCATGTAACACGACATCAAAAACTAATGACGTACTGTATGGTGACTAACATAATAAAAAAAAAAATCAGAAATTCACTGTATCAAAGGACTAAAACGAAAAACCAGAGATGTGAGAAAGGTGTGTGACCAAATCATTACTCATTCATTGAAATCTTAGCAACCTAGGCACAGACAACATCGGCCTCAACCTGATAAAGGGCTTCTACAAAAAATGCAGATCTGACAGCACACTTAGTGGTAAAAGACTGTATGCATTTTCCCTACACTCAGGAACAAAGTTAAGGATGTCTGCTCCCACCACTTTCATTCAACACTGTACTAGAACTCTCAGCCACGGTGATAAGGCAAGAAAGAGAAATCAAAAGCGTGAGTTGGAAAAGAAAGAAAACTGTCTTTATTTGTAGATGACTTGATTATCAGTATTAGAAAACAAACACAGAGCAGCTATCTGAACTAAAGTGAGTTTAACAAAGTTGCAGGATATAAGATCAATAAAGAAAAGTGAACTGTATTTCTAAATACTAGAAATGAGCTGGAAACGGAGATTTGAAAAATACCATTTATGATGTCATCAAAACCGATGAAACCCTTCGGGATAAATCTAATAGAATATGTGCAAGATTTGTGCCATGAAAAAGAAATCAATACATTGTAAGTACATGTATACACATCCAAACAAAGGTACTGGATGTTCTTCAGTCCAAGAAGGCTAAGTTACAGTCACAGGAATTCTGTAGTTGCCTTACAGAATCCTTGGAAATAGTTAACTCTCAACTACCACGATGTTCTGGCTTGAAAATACAGCCTCTACTCTATTATTTACACCAAACAAGCTAGAAGAAACTAGTCAAATTTCAACAAGAACGTTCAAATTCGATAGAAAAAAAGTTTCACTACTTTCTCTAAATAACCATGAGTGAGAAAAGCAGCAAACATTCTTGGAAAATTGTCACAATGTCATGTTTTTCATTCTTTCAAACCTCACTCTCAATATCACAGACCTGACACTTAAGAGTGTGAATATCCATCACTGCTTTTTGCCTCTGTTTATGTATTCTTAATTGGACACAAAATGCAAAGAAATTTCTAAACAGACAATTCCATGGGAGCAGAGCCCTCCTTAATGTTGTTTACTCATTACATACTCTAGTCCCACTTCTTAAGTGGTCCATAACGTGAGCTCCTGGGGGAACCAGGCTCAAAGCCAGGAGACCCACACCTCCTGGGCTACTGTCACAGCCTTCTGAAAAAGCCCGTGACAGGGATCTCTCTTGGTCAGAGAACACCTGGGCTGCAAGAAACTGCCACTGCACAGGCTCTATTGTTTCCAGCACTGACATGATCACAAATATAATTCTGCTTTGTAACCTCTGTAAAATGGGAGGGATGATGGCAGGTGTCAATAGCAGGCAGCTTGGTGTGCACAGAAAGCACACCGATGCTACTTGCTAAGTGAATGCATCGACGACTTGACCACACCCTGATGTTTTCTTGCCCTGAATGCCCAAGGGCATCTCAAACTCGCCCTTGGCTTTAGAGCTGGTGACTCTGTAATAGCACGTGGAAGGCACACTGTCCGACTTCTGCCCTTGGTAGCAGGTGGCAGTTGTACCCAGGACACCTCTTCGTTCTCCTCCCATCTAGAAGAGGGATGGAGCAGAAACAGTCCTTGCTTACGCTGAAGGCCGATGCTGGCTAATTTCTGGTGTCATTGGCATGGCTCATCCTTGTTTATGTTTCCACTGCAAAGAGCAAACGTTCAGCTGATTTACCTTACAAGTCACGCCCTGATATAGGGAATCTCATACCGAGGTGCTGCCAAAGCTCTCCTTCTTAATGTAAAACACCGATGTTTAAGCAGTCATGAAATGCACTCTTTTTAATTCACTGATGGTCATTATTGGCTCTGTAAAGGGATATCTGAGCGGGCTAAATGATTAATGAGGATATTTATCTGGAGTAGTGGCACAGAGTGTCTAAATCATAGGGCTGGAGAGGGAGCTCACGGAATATTAGAGGCACTCTCCTCTTTTGCTTTTAAAAAAAAAGCGATAACATCGGTTTGATTTTAGGAGTACAAATAGAGGAAAACAGCTGTTTCAACCATCAACTGGAAATGAGAAAAATTCAGATTTAAGATTAGTTTGATTTTCTTCAGATATACCATGATCCTTTTGAGATCCTTGAACATGATGCCATTAGTAAGAGCCTCGGGAAGAACCTCCTGGCCGCGCCCTTGCAGCCTCCGATCTGGCACTAAAACAGAACAGCGAGTCAGGCAGCAATGGGGCTAGAATCACACATAGGGAACCACTGCTTTTCATCAAGCTGTCTCAAATAAAGGCTGCAAAACAGTCGTGACAGAGCTTTTTGTGAGCTGAAGAACCAGGGAGCTGAAAATTCAAGTGTACGTTTTGCAAGGAGAGGCTTGATTTCTGAGAATCCCACAAGTAAGAAAGCCTCTTGACCAACACAGCAGCAGGACACCACTTAGTAACACCCTGATACACAGACAGGCAGGGACAGCCCCCGTGCCAGCTCTCATGCTGGGTATGTACCCCAAGAGCTGCCAAAGCCATGGCACACTGTATGACAGCCGTGTGGCTAAACGAAGTAATCTCTGTCACGCAGAGTTCACCACCACGGTGCCACATGAGAAAGGTTCAAAATTGTCCATGAGACGTACTCTTTAATCCTATGCTTCGCTCTGACTAACGCTTTAAGTCATCAACAATATTCTGCACAAATTAAGATGTTCAAAATGTCAAGAAAAGTCAATTACAAGCTTTCATACTCCAGCTCTTTTGCTGCGGTACACATAGTGAAGAGTATATTATAGAGAGTCTCCAACCTGAGCCCAGCTTCCCTCCTCATCCTCCTGGTGTTACGAGGTTAGGAATGCAAGAGAACATAACTGTTAGTATTGGTGAGCTTAGTGATGCAAGCAAATTAACATTGTAGGGAAGGTGCAGAGTGACTTGAGTGAAAAAGTTAAAAAAAAAAAAATCAAAGCATCATGCAAAACTCATGCAAAACCAAAGATTCCAGTTCCTCATGCAAAGAGCCAATTTCCCATGGCAAGCACGTCCATATAAGGAGAAAACTAGGGCCAGAACACGAAGACTGACCGCCAAACTGATGTCTCTCCTTAAAGGAGACAGGAATTAAATCTATTCTAAATAGAGCGAGTCTACCAATTTTAAGCTCCTGAAAAAAAAAATCTAAAATAGAATTCCATTTCACACGTTTAACTAATACCTAATGGAAATACTTATCGGAACAATTTAATGTGAAATGACATTTTTGCTTCCCAAGGAAAAGCCAAGAATCGTGCCGTTCTTAGGTGGGGAGCACTGGGGGAGGGCAAGCTCGGGGCTGTGACTGACCGTTTGTGGCGTGGCTGTGAGCGTTTCCATCTCTTCGTGCGTTAACCAGACATTTCCTGTGGTCTAGGGTGACCCCAGTGATCAACCACATCCAGGGCAAGGGAAGCAGTGACAAAGAGGAAAGGTGGCAGATACGTAAGCCTCAGGCACATAAAAGGAGCAGGTGGAGGCAAAGGCCATTCTTCTCACCTTTTCATTTTAGATGCCCGTATGGAAAATGACAGAACATTAAAACAAGCTCACCCCCTTCATAAAGGATAACCACACCCTACTAATACTGTGTTGTCAGTAACCCAAGAACAGCCCATAATTCCTAGCACTTCATTTGCCATGCTTACCACCTGAGGTATGCAAAATATAAAAACAACATATTTTGTACTTCTGAAAATTGTGAATGATTCTCAACTAAATCTTATTCAATACATTTACAGTCTTACCCGGACAGAGCACAACAAAGAGCACAGTCCCCAGGTCTAGTTTTGGACTGTGGGACAACGAACGGTCCCCAGGAGGTGCTCTGAGGTGACTGGGCCACGCGGACGGGACAACCTTGTCTGGGGAAACCCAAGAGGCAGGGCACAGGGCTGAGGGCGTCGTCCAACACAATGGCCAGTGACTTCAAGGAGCCAAAATCCCGGCCCCACTGAAGCGCCACAGCGGACCCGAGACCCAGCAAAGCGCCGTGCCAGCCGCCGGGCCCCTCCGGGGATGGGCGCGCCCCGTCTCACGGTGCGGTCCCCTGCTTGGGGCAGCTCGCCGTGCCTGTGCGCTGGCTCCGTCCGTGAGCAGCAGCCTTCACCGGACAGTTCGTAAAGACTTTGGGAAAACCACCCTACACCTTCATTTCTAGAAAGGCCACTCTAACTGGAAAAAACTGGGCCACAGGGACCCGGTCAGATGCTGTGACAGAACGTTCCCAGCACAGAGCTTCCTGGGCCGCAGGTAAGAGCGCAGACGGTTCATTCCGACCCCTCCCCCCAGAAACAAAGTGAAACAAGCCAGCCAGCAGCCCCTTTCTGTGTGGGGGGCCGCAAGCCCCGACTCGGGCCCTAACCTGCCGCTCGGAGCAGTACATCTGTGAGGCTCTTCTGTCTCTCCATCGGGTTTTCCCTCAGAGCAAACCAAGAGCAGAGCGGGGACTAAGCCAACCTAAAGAACCCGCACTCTACAGACCACGGCTTGGCCTGTCTTGTCTCCCAGGAACCACCCAGGTTTTCATTAGGGTAGGGCCGCCCACTCCATGAGGGGGCCCCCCGTAAGGGCGGTCGTGGTCCTCCCACATGGAGCAGAACCTCGCGAGCACAGACAAGGCTCGGGGTGCGCCTGCAAACTCACGGGCTGCTTCCAGCTCAGAGCCCCCAGGGCCTCTGGCTCCCGGAAAGGGCCCAACACGTCCCTCAGTAAAACACTGGGCACAGTGCAAGTGGGGAATCGAAGCTTTCTCCCCTTCACTTTTGGTCAATTCATATTAAATTAGAGATAGTTACTTTTCTATGCTTTTAAAAACTCGTATTTCTATATCACAGAGCCACACTGCAGCCAAGCGGTTACGTTCAGGAAAGGATCTGTGAACCCCCCAACTGTCACCAATTAAAAGTTGTCATGTTTCTGAATGCTAAACCTTTAAGTTGGAACACTGGTATGTTTGTAAGAACTGGAGAAGCAATAGAAACAGCAGGTACACTCTTTCTGCAAACACGCACCGTTCTCGAAGTAGGAGGGGCTGACGGACTTGTCAGGGACATGATTTCCTGAATCGCCAGCCTCAGCTTCAGCCTGTGCAGAGGGTTGCTGATGCCGATCTCACGCTGGATCTCCGTGTCCGACAGGGCCGACATGATGGCCCCACTTTTCACATTGGCTCGGCAAGCGGCCACGTACCAGGCAGGCATCCCAACCCATAGCTGGAGACAAGAAGTGTTAAGGCCAGAAGGTTATGCACAGCGTACGGATGGATGAACACACTCACATATGGAACATACTCCACCCCAGAGGAAAAGAAAGATCTACCTCTAGCCAAACAACAACGGTCGGTCCATCCCACTGTGCAAAAGGCAAACCTTGTCTCCGGGCTTCCTCGAGCAGTTCATGCCTACAAACAACAAGAGATTCAGCATGAAAGACCCACCAGTGCATGCAAATATAAAACGAGCTGAACAGAGCTATTCTCTTTACACATTTCTAAAAGTATCCTCAAGTCATCTCCTGGCAGAATTAAAGACTTATTGCCAACATTAACAATCCCAGCAGTCTTCATGTCCAAGGAAGGAGAGTCAAGGGACTATCTGAATAATGAGGAAAACTGGGTAGGAGAGGAAGCTGCAGCCAGGAGAGCCAAGAAGCCTCTGTGAGGGCCTCAAGGGGTCCACACGGACAACATCACAGAGTTTTGCACCAGGAACGGTCTGATGTGGCCAGTAAGTCATGGCCGGGTGCTGGCTGCTTCCAGTCTACAGTGCTATTTAGGCTCATCAGGTACTTGTAAGCTAAGATGCTGGGTCATCCTGTGGTTTCATCCCCAGGCTTTATACCCAGGAAATTTAAATCCCAACCATGCATATCAGCGCACACAGGGCAGACCGTGAGACTCAGATATCATCAGGAGCCAACACCCACAGGGCGGCAAGCAGGAAGCACCAGAAATATTCTGTAGGCTTGGCTCTAAAACCCCCAAACCATGACTTTACCTTATTAGCATCTTTAAAAAGGACTGTTTACTGATAACGAAGTTATGTAAGGGGCAACACAACAATCTTTATGAATCTTATCTTACTTTTTTGTGTTGTGTCCTTACAAGGCTTTCTGAAAGACACTAATTCTTCCTAAAAATGAAAAGTATCCCAGAGAAGGTGGGGTTGGACTGGGGGCGGTTTACCCTATGTGCCGGGGCATCCTGAGGCATTTTTCAATCCCTAGGTCACTTTTAGTGTTATTTCTCTTTAATAATTTCCGCAGTCCAGTGAATCTGTTATTTCTAAAGATATACATAGGCTCTTTGATATATTTAAATATTATTAGACTTTTCCTGAGACTGTGAAATCTACGTAAAATTAAAGCTCAAAATGTTTCACATAAAATTTCAAGTAAGTGTTCCTTTAATCAACCTTGGGTTTCCTTGGAGTAACAGATATTGTAATTACGCAGGAATGATTACATCAGAGAATGCAACAACTCTTTTTTTTTCTTTCTTTAAAGTAAGCTCTGTGTCCAACATTGGGCTCGAACGCACCACCCTGAGGTTGAGAGTCACATGCTCCACCCCTGAGCCAGCCAGGTGCCCCAGAAGGCAACAAATCTTAATAGCTTGGGGGGTGGGGGAAAGGCAAACTTTTCTCATTAAAATAAGCAAGGCTATTCATAAACCAAGAAACGGAGGCCCCCGGGCTGTGGGCATCCTGCTCCGTGGCCCGAACACTGCACGGAAGAGGTCAGAGGAGGGGCCTCTCTGGGTGGAATAAGTCATCAACGTGCTCAATTAAATGCTGACTTCTGTGTCCTAAGGACAAATTCTCAAAGATGGTGGCTATATTTTACGTGAACACTTACTTAAGCCAAGTGAGCCCTATGATCAATACTAGTATTTCCTTGGCCAATGGGCTGGGAAAAGGCCTGAGCTGCGGAAGCGTGGTCAGGTGCTAAGTCCTAAACAGTGTGGCCCAGCCAAGGAGGGGCTCTGCCCTAGGCCAGAAGGCCTTTCAGAGGCCCTGCACTCTCAAAATCCACTGAGCAGTGACCGAACCCAGGGCACTCTGCCACACGTTGTCTTTTAAAATGAAATAGTTATTCAGGAGCACCTGGCTGGCTCAGTCAATAGAGCATACGACCCTTGATCTCAGGGTTGTGAGTTCAAGACCCACACTGGACATGGAGCCTACATTAAAAAAAAAAAAAAATCAGAAATAGTTATTTGTTGTAAACAAGGACTATAGGGTTAAAAACAGTCCACGAATCCCATGACCTGGAGGCTGGTGCACATGATTCTGACTTTACCAGCACCTTCCTCCTGGCAATGGCCATTTGTGCATCAAAAGCCTTTTCTAATATGGATGCGCTTTGAGCTCGGGCCCGTGGTCCCGCTGAGACGGAGATGAGGCAGTGGAGACAGGACTGTGCAGCAAAGGGATGCAGGAGCCCGCAGGAAGGCGGGGCCACCGTGGGGTGGCTGCGCCAGGCCTCTGCCCGTGCTCGACTGCCTCCCCTATCAGTGCACGGCGCAGAGCACTGAACACCAGCGGGACCCAGGTGGGAACACTGGCACCCCTTCCTTCTCGCAGGGGTGACTGCTCCCCCGACATGAAGCAGGCCTCCTACGTGAGAGTGGATGACACAGAGCCCCTGGACGCCGCGCCGACGGGGAGGGCACACCCAGGACTCCAGGGCCAGCTCCACTGCCGTCCTGTCACTTGTCACAGGCACACCCCTTCCCCGCCAGATCTAGCGACTGTGTTTCCTTCTCTGGCCACTGGGAACAGCCTACCGCACACAGCCAACTTCCTTCATTTGTGGCTGGTATAAATTAAGTGGCTGTGTAAACTTACAAACTTGCCCGTGTACCCAGAGGGTCACTCTAATGAGCGACAGAACCAACCGGTTTTCTCCTTCTTTACTACAACTACAAAAATAAGCATGATAGGTAATAGTTTACTGGAAGGAAATGAGGGATTCTTGTCCAGGTCAATTTCCCAGAAAACAAAATTCTTCTGCCACGAGTTCCAGAGCCTCAAACACAACACGTGAGGTCGTGGGGCTCTGAAATGTCCAGCGCTTCTCTGCACCTAACTCTGTGCTGAAGAACTAGGTTACGAGCCAGTCTCCTGGAGGGGCGAGAAGACTCGTCTGGCTTCTGCTGTCATTTACTTCCTTCCTCTGCTTTCGGATGCCGCACTCCCCACTGTGGCTGTGTCCTCCTCGCTGTATGGCCCGGGAGCCCAGCCGGAGGGACTGCCCCCTCTGCGGAGGAAGACGGAGGAGCCCTGCACCTGCCACAGGGGTGCCAGTGTTCCCACCTGGGTCCCGCTGGTGTTCAGTGCTCTGCGCCGTGCACTGATAGGGGAGGCAGTCGAGCACGGGCAGAGGCCTGGCTCAGCCACCCCACGGGTGCTGCGGGGTGACTTAGCTGCGACCTAATTTCCCTCTAGACCCACACACCTGATTTTCCAAACACCTGTTCTAACATTAAACTGATGCGGAATGCCCAGCCTTATAATGAGAGTTGCAGGAGAAAGACATTTAGAAATCTGCTCAATTCTATGGTGAACAGGCATACGTATGTGAGAAATCACATAACCTAGGACAGATGACACGTGTTTTTAGTTAGGACATAAATATGACAGTAAAGTCGCCTTTCCTAACAAGAAGCACGTGAGCCTTTGCTCATCAAATACGGTATGACAACAGGCATCGGGCCTCATCTTTTTGTTTGTTTTAAAGATTTTATTTATTTATTTGAGAGAGAGAGACACAGCGAGAGAGGGAACACAAGCAGGGGGAGTGGGAGAGAGAGAGAAGCAGGCTTCCTGCTGAGCAGGGAGCCCGATGCGGGGCTCAATCCCAGGACCCTGAGATCATGACCTGAGCCGAAGGCGGACGCTTAACGACTGAGCCACCCAGGCGCCCCGTGCCTCATCTTTCTGAGACCGGCACCTCGGATGCAGGCGTACAGGGCCCTACCCACCCCCCACCACGGTTCTGCCAGCCACGCAGAGCATAGCTCTCGAAAACCCGAGAATAACTTCTGACTCCCTAAAAACTTAACTACTCATAGCCTACTGCTGACCAGAACTGTTACCAATAACAAACAGTTAACACACATTTTATATGTTACATGTATTATAGGCTGCATTCTTTAATAAATTAAGCTAAAAAAAAGGTTATTAAAAAAATCATAAAGAAAATATATCTACAGTGCTATACTTTATTTATAAAAAAAAAGTCTGCATATAAGTGGACCTGCACAATTCAAACCTGTGTTGTTCAAGTGTCAACTGTACATTCTACAACTTGCCATGCACGACAGCAGAGTATGGGGTATGACCCACCCGTAGATACTCAGTCATAGCTATGGTAACACAGAACCAAATCCATCAATTTGAACATCTCAGCTCCAGAAAAACCTACACACACACACACACACACACACACACACACACACACACACGAGCACGCACACGCAGTGTGAAATTTAATCACACGCTGGGGCAAATAACTTAATAAAGGCTGTCCTCATATGGCCAAGTACTTTAGCATACCTCCTGACAGTGACAAAATAAATGCAGGAAACAGAGGAAACGTTTGGCCAATTTACGCTCCCATGTGAAATACACATTTCTGGGAGCAGTGGGGTGGGAGAGCCAGAGGGCACTGCCCCAAATCTTAACGTTTTCATTACAGAAAGTATAAGATGTGAAATAAAACACATCAGCAAAATCTAAGGGACAGAATTTTCCTAGCATGGTTCCAGGAGCAAAAGGCCTAGCTTCAATATTAAATTTCACACAGCCAAATGGCAACTCCCCAAGATATTTTAAAACATTTTTATACAGTTCAAAGATAGCAACATTCAGATTAGACCACTGTTAAGCGGTTTCTACAAATTTCCATTCCCAGAGAACCAAAAGACTGAGTATTCCTAGAGTACTGTGAGCAACAACAGAAATAATAGCATTTCACCTGAAACAGAATCCACGGTATGTCAGTCAAGATCATTTTTATGACTTCTGAAAAGAAAACTAAAATGAGGCACATTTCACCAAAGAGAAACCAGCTGGCAACTCCAGGGGCGAAAGGGGAGCCAGCCTCTAGCAGAGAGGGTCCCGTGGGCTCAGGCGGGACATGCGGCCCCAGGCTCCAGACCAGTGCTGGCTCTCAGGGCACCCGAGGGCAGCCAGATGCCTTTCCCGTTGTCAGGTTCATCTCAGAGCCCGCCACGTCCTGCCCCTTGCCATCGGCCCCATCCTCCTTCCTGGGCTCACGTCCTGCGCCTCCCTGCTACACTACACACCGCCTTCCTCTGTTGAAGAGCATCAGTTGTCAGATCACTGAGATATGGTCCCAGCTTATCCAGTTCATCCACTTAACTCTGGTTTGGGACATGGGGAGCCAACACACAACCTGCTCTGGATCAGAAAGTCCCAGAGAAACGCGTCAGCACTGTGCCTTCACACCCCTATCCCGAGGCATCACACCACCAGAGATCCTCGGCAGGAAACTGTCCCCACTGTTATCACTCGTTTCCAGAGTCAAGACAATTTAGAACTGACGTGTAAAAATAGACTACAAAACTGAGAATCTATTTAAGATAAAAATTCAGACTCTCCTGGGGAAGGAAAGAAGGACAACACAGTGAGGATTTCCTGACAGATGACTGGTATGAACAGCAAATTCTGCATGCTGGTCACCGAGTCTTCACAGGCTGTAGTCCTATGTACAATCGGACGTACAGTTAGTTTATCCTGTGTATATTTACAAAGACACAGACGTATATCTCACGCTCCCGAGAGCAAGGGAGGTTAAGTGCCCCCCTTGCTCCCACGTACGGAGGAGAAAGCGGAAGCACCCAGAGCCCCAAGATGGGCCGGGGCCAGAGCCAGGATTCAGAGTCAAGTGCTGCAAGGCCGAGCCCCGAGTGCAGACCACGACACGTGCTAAGACAATTCCCAAGGTGGGCGGGGAACCCAGGTTTGAGTCCTTCCGAAACTTCATAAGTGCTCTACCACCTCCAGGAAGTACTGTTTAATAAAGGCCTCAGGTGCATCTTTTTGGACACTACACTCAGCTGGACGGTACATTTAATAAATAACCATTGGTTAAAAATCAGGTGCAACTGACAGCCGCTCAGTGAGATGACAAATAAAAAATGCTTACTTTTTTTGAAGTTTACGATTTTTTTCAGCCTGTCCTCCCAATTTGCTGAGTCCCAGGGCATCCTGAGAGGAGTTTTCTGTCTCTGAAGCAGCAGCTGTGGGGAAGCAGAGGGACTGAAGTACCGAGAGGAACGGACATGGCCCTGTGCGGGCTCTTCCCGTCAGGGGGACGCGCGTCCACAGGCAGAGCGCGAGCAGTTCCGAGGGCGCCTCTGCCCGGACAGCCAGCACACGGAAGTGCCCGCGCACGCCACAGTGGGCACGCCTGCGCCACCAACCTGGTCCCGTGGGCTCCTTGCCAGCGTGGCCGGGACGGCCTTTCTCTTTCTTGCCAAACAACCGGCCAATCGAGGACTTGATGCCCTTCTTCTTGGGGGCTTTGTGCAGCGAGTCCTGGCTACTGTTGCTGCTGCTGGGGTTGCTCACGGGGCCATCCTGTGAGCCTGTGGAGCTTGGGGACAGGAAAGGATCTTGAACAAGTGCTCAGCACAGCACACCATCCCACACATGCGACCTAGAATGCTCGGCGTTTTTAATATTCCTTCACACTTCACAGCCAAACCTGAGGTCTTGCCTTCACAGAGTACGTGAGAAGCACAAGCTCCTATCAACACTCCCCGGGAGGGCTGTCCCCAGGAGGCTGACACTGTCTCTTTTTCAGGGAGGCTGCGGCGCCAAGCCAAAGGGGCCGAGCGCTTGGGAAGGCACTCCTACAGACGCTGGCCCTGCTGCCCCTTGGGAGCGCTGTGCTCCTCCCCGAGCAGGCCCTTCCTGGCAGCCAGCGGAGGTGAGAACAGGGCCACGGCACAGAGGCGCACACAGCCCTCCCCGAGCACCACCCGGCGTGGAACAGAAACGCAAACAGTGCTGGTCTGGAATGGGGTGCATGAGCAACAGAGTGGCTACTGGAATGGCCTGGGTGTGAGGACAGTGCGGGGCTCTTGGATGGCTCGGAAGGGCACAGAGCGCCGCCAACAGAAGGAGCCGTCAGGAGCCCGCGCGCTGGCACAGGCTCCATCGGGAATAGAAAGTTCTCCACAGTCAGTGTGCAGACTCTGAAGACATGAAGTCGTCCTAAAAGTGCTGACACCATTTAGGCCCTTTCTTTCCAAACTGACTTTTGCACAAACAGCCATGCGTCTTCTGCCTGATCCCTACAAGGCTCCCCGAGCTCCCGCAGGCATCCCAAGAACATCGTTCACGTAAACTCCACTCAATTCACTGGTATTTCTTTAAAATCATTGTTCTGCCCTTTTTTTCTCCCCCAAGAAAAGATCAAGGATTTCTTAAAACTGCAAACTAGCACCGGAGAGTTTCCCGTGGGGTGCGCAGCGCCCGCGCGCGCCTTACTTTCTGCCGTCCCTGATGTCCTCGTGGCTGACCGTGTGCAGCGCTCCTTTGTGCAGCCTGTCTAAGCGGAGGGGTCTCGGGGAGGAAGGGGGGGACGTTTCACATTTTATCGTTGCCTTGTCATCTCGTACCTCTTCGCGGGAAGCCGGCAGCTGGGGGGGAGACAGGGAGACCAGTTAGTGACACTCCACCATAGAACAATCACGAAGGCTCTAAACTGTAGCCATAACCTTATTTGAAAACCTAGGGGTGTACAAAAAGCCTCAAGTTGGCCTGAGGCTGTGCTACGGGGTGGTCCTGTTTGTAAGCAGCAGCCCGTGGACACCCCCCGCCCACATGCATGTGAGTGTAGGGCGCTCCTCTCCCCGAGCCTCCTGGCAGCCTACAGCTCACCCTCCCCGGAACCCTGCGCTGCCCACGGCGAGGAAAGCCACTGTAGGGGATGGCAGAGACCGGAGCCATGCCCCCAACCACATCACTATAAACTGGGCCCTCAGGAGCTCTCCCTGACGGAGTGCTGAGAAGGAACGTGTTTATCCCCTGATGCCATTCAAAACAAGCACTGGTGAGTGCAGAACCCTCTCGTGCAAAACTGTCCAGAGCTTCTTGTTTTGGGGGGAAAAAGAAATAGCCTGTACCATAATCCATCAATTCTAGTAATGATGCAAGCCGTGGAGTCCCTAAGGTCAAGTTCAAAGTGAACAGGCACCCCCCCCCTTCCACCCCACACAGGTGTCTGGCCCATGTCTCTCGGTGACGTTATAACCTGAGGATGGACCTGCAGCCTAGAGACAGCGGGTTCCACAGGGCGGGGATGAAGTGACCCTGGGCTGCCATCACGAGAAGACGGCCCCCTTCAGACTGCCCGTGTTATTTTCTGTGTTGCATCTGTGCGGCCTCAGGCAGGAAGGCGGGGCCAGTCCGGCCCGCGCTTTAACCCCACCTGGCAGGTCTCACTCACAGATCTGGGCTTTGTGGCTGGCTAAGGCAGGGCTGGGTCTCATGAGACATGCGTGGCAAACCCCTGTAGGAACAGTGAGACTGGGGCAGCCAGTGGTGCTTTGTAACAGGACCTCTGCAGCTGCGCAGGGGCTTGGGGACACCCATGCGCATTAGCACCGTGCGGGGCTGAGCTCAGGTAGGACACAACCGTAACCAACAGCTGGATAAGTCATTCGTTCTTTCCTGATTTCCCATCACAATCACTGGACAACAAAAGTTTATGTTAACTGCTTAGAAATTACCAACATAAAATTTAACAGAGACAGATTTCAGTAACAGGGATAAGATTTCAAATCCAGGTTAAAGCAATGATTTGTAAAAAAAAAATAATAACAAAAAAGAACAGGATGGGGGAGGGACACTCGGGGCTGTGCTGACAATGAGGTCAGCAGAGACACAGTTCCAAGTGCAAGCCTGCCCTGTGCCACAGCCCAAGCCACATGGCAAGCCCCAGCCAGGCCTGCCCTTCCCCTGTGCTCCCAGGAGAAGTGTACCCTGCCCAGCACTGGGGCCCACCAGACTTGTGCCTACAGGCTGCTGTAGCCTCGACTAGAAGGGGAGTCTCCACGAGAACTGGGAGTTAGCCCAGCACGCACCAGCGCCAAGCATGAGGAGGAAAAGCAGGGGGAGGAGGGGGGCACGGTGCACGGCACGTGCTGGCCCTGTCCGTGCCGACCCGGCACTCTGCGTGTGCACCTGGTTTCATCCCCCCAAAACCTCCAAACAATGCCCCTCCAAGAAGCAGTCAGCGAGCTCAAGTGACCACAAGCAACAGGAGCGGCTGTCCTGCCTGGGTTCAGGAGCACGCCCCTTCTTTCACTGAGAAAGTCCTGCTCCTAAGAAAACTGCAGAGGCAAGCCAGCAGACTCAGGCTGTGCTGGGCCCCGCTCTGCTGTGGGCTCCCAGCCTCTGCGGACGGTGTTTACAAAGGTGTAGTCTGTGGCCGGCCCGAGGAGCAGGATCCCCTGGTCCTCCTCACGTGACAGGAGAGCAAACCAGGGCAGAGCACACCCAGGTCACAAGACAGTCAGTGACAGAGCTGGAGCTTGAACCCAGGAGTTTCACTAAACGGCCACACCGGTCTGTGCAGCGGAGGGGCTCCCCCGGCCGCTGCCCAGCTCCTAGCACCGAGCCCCCGACCTAGCAAAGGTGCCGCCCTGTCAGCGCACGGCCGGGTGGGGTCGGGGTGGGGGTACACAAAGCACAACAGTTACGAGGGAGACGCTCTGGTCAAAGGACCTGTCCCCTGATGAGTTGTACTTCCTCTGAAAATGGGGAGGCCCGCCCCGTGGTCACGTGTACAGAGGAGAAGCGCCGAGGCCCATGCGGGTGGCGGGCAGACAAATCCGTACTGCACCGGTCTCCGCACCTGGGAAATGGGGTCACAACATAACCGGTGCCTCACAGGGATGCGTGCCAGGGTCAGGAACAGGCTCCCAGAGCACTCAGCGCAGGCCCGGCGTGCGGCAGGTGCTCTCTGACTGCTGCCACGGCTATGCTGGTGGTGCCCAGTTCTCAAATCTATGGCTCTGCTTCGGGAATTTCTCTTTTTGAAAACTATTATGTCTGGGGCACCTGGGTGGCTCAGTCGTTAAGCGTCTGCCTTCGGCTCAGGTCATGATCCCAGGGTCCTGGGATCGAGTCCCACATCGGGCTCCCGGCTCAGCAGGGAGTCTGCTTCTCTCTCTCCCTCTGCCGCTCCCCCTGCTCATGCGCTGACAAATAAATGAAACCTTAAAAAACCAAACTATGGCGTCTGGTCTAAGTAAGCATACAGTGAGCAGACATCGGTGAGAGAAAGGAGAGCGCCCCCGTCGGTCGCGGTGCTCTGGGAGGACCAGCTCAGCTGGCAAGGGTGACCACCACACTAGAGCACCGCTGGCCCCGCACCCCCTGGCACGAGCGTGCTGCGCGCTGGATTAGGGCACCCTCCTGGGGAGTAGGGGCACTCTTCCACATCACAGACAAACAGAGGAATGTTCCGCTACTAAAAATTTTACCTTTCTACGATGTTTCCTTAAATCACTAGGCTGATAGAGGCATGCAAAGAAATGAAGAGAAATCAGATTTACTGCACACGCTGAAGTTAGAAATTCAAGGACCAGAACAGGCAAATATATTTTAAAAAGAAGAACAGGAGAGATATAAGTGAGATAAAACTTGTTTAGGAACAACATAACTGGAAATAGAACTTTTTTCCACAACAAATTTAAACATAATAGGTTATTCAGGATTTACTAGAGAAATGCTATAAATTATTACACGGGGAGATAAATTCCATTTTAACACACACAACTAATTAAAATACGGCACTCTGCGCAACACAGGGACTGAACAGCTGTCTGTTCGAAACTCTTCTTGAGTCTGTTTTCCTTACTGAAAACCACGCTGCACTTTTATAATATCAACCTCCTGCCTGATGCAGAAGTTCCTGCATACCTACTCCAGCACCCAGCAAACCTGCTCTGGGGAATGACCTGCGGGACGGTAATGACAAATCCTCACCTAGAACTGATTTAAACCTTTTCAAAAATAAGTGCATTGTTTAAAGCAGAGTGCCCCGTGCGGATCTGTAAGAACAGGCACCGGCGTAAGAGCACGTGGCACCTCTACCTTCTATGATTCCATACACGTGAAAACCAGTCTGTGAAGGCAGAAAGTACACATGCCGGTAAGTTTAGGAGATTTCCAGTCGAATACAAGCATCAAAACCAGAACGTACGCCATTTGTGTCAGGCTTCCATTAATCTATGCTTAGCGCCTTAGTTCTTTATGTACGAAACACGAGTTACGTATCTCCTACGTAGCTCTGAATAAACACACTCCTGATTCACCTATATCATGCCCTTTTCCACATCTATAAAACAGTGACACACTAATTAAAATGTATCACTACCAGGGGAAGGAAAAACCCCACTATTTAATGCGAAACGAAGATCAAGCAGAAACCACACTAATGAGCCACGACTGACCACACACACACACTATGGACCACAGAGTCACTGCCACCTGAGCATGCTGTGGAGGGCCTTACGGCATGGGGCTGGATGAACCGAATACCGGCCGGGGCAGGAGGCTCAGGTCTGCATTCAGTGAGAAACCAAACCAAAGGATGAGACAGGACATCAAAACCAGCCACGGAAGCAGATACACTGTCAGCCAGCATACAGAATCACAAAAACGGGGGAAGAAAATAAACATAACTATTTTTTGTAACTACTCTTACAAACTCTCTGGAAGGAAGGAAGCATGAAAGCACAAATAAAACCGTCAAAGAGTTCAAAATATTAGTTAGCTAATGATGTGAATTATAAAAATAGTATGTCAGAATACCACAAAATCAACTCGTTACCACTTCAGATGCCGCTACGGTGATTCATAGCTGATTTAACTACATGTTGGCGAACAATGCAGCTAAAAATAAAAACGGACAGGAAGGATTCTGACAGACAGAAGTGCAGTTGAAAAGCAGAATGCTGTAAACATGAGTTTACGTAGGAAGGCAACGTGCTCATAAAACCTAAGCTACACACACAGGGAAGTTATAAAACATTCTTTGGAGCTGCACGCTTGTCACGGAAAACCGTAGGGTCACTGCGTTTCCAGACCCTGATGAGCGAGGATGCCCCTGGGCCTCCGCAGGAAGCCGTGCAGGCGTGGGGCCTGTGCTGGTGCCATCCTGGCCTCACGCACAGAGCTGGCGTCAAGCATGTGGTCGAGCGCGTCAAGAACCAATTTAAGCTTTACTTTTCGACTGTACGTCCTGTACCCTCCAGTTAGGCATCTCTAACGCAAAGGAGGACAACAGTGACTCCCTCTGTAAGTTTTCTACACACTACGAAGACTATCTGCATTGACTTTTATGAAACCATCTATTCCTAGAAGACGAGACTATTCCCCCTCGAGCTGCGCAGGCCTGTGTTGTCCAGTTACACAAATAAAAACTCTGATGGGTTCATGATGACATGCTACACCAGTCATCCAAATACTACAATTAACTTGTCCCTGTGCTATTGCTGAGTGATTAAACACTAGCTGGTTTGAAATATCTTGAACCTCTGAGCATAACAAATGAACTTGATTTCATTCTGGGTAAAAAACCAAACCAAAGCATATCTGTCGAGTCTGAGACAGAAGTCAGGGGGCTGGGGTGGGGAGGGCATCAGCCAGAAGAGTTGGTAAATACTCACTAGAGTCATGACCCCCAGTCTGTCCACCTCCCTGGCGGGGCTGTGCGGGCCCCTTCTCGGGGTGGAGCGCCCGCTGTGCGGAGGGGAGGGGCCTGCGAGCGTGGACGTGGGGTGTGGGGGGGCGGTGCCCACCGATCTGAACCGACCCGGGCTGTCTAAAGTGCCGCTGCCCACTCGGCTCTCAATCTCCTCTGCCCGCTGCTCCGTGCTCTCCTTCTCTTCTTGTATCAGCCTAGAACAAAAGCACACATTCAGCCGGGCTCCACCAGCAAACACATGAATGCATTTGTCCAACAAATCTCTGCTTGCTTCGACCGTATTCCCATCAGCTGACTCCAGTAACACTCGCTCCAATGCTAATTTACCTTCTTAGTAGACTTGATTTTAGAACACCACAAAATAAACCTTCCACTGAGTCCTACAAAGTTGCTTCCCATCATTCATGTCTGGTTTTACTTATGTACACTGAAATTCTGATGGAGGCCTGCTGGCAACTCTCTTCCTGCATAATGCGCTATGTAAATCTTACAATTCTTAGAGCAAAGCTGCATGTTTATAGATCAAATTCTTCAACTGGAAATTGGGAACCCTGACATAAATGAAAAACCAATCCATGAAGCAACTGGGAATTCCAAAACACTTAGGTGTCTAGATTAGATGAAAAAGTGGAGTTGATTTTTTTTAAGGCTGAATTCAAACAAAAGTCTTATTTGATGGAATTTTCAACCAGCCTCCTCTGAGTTTCTGGATTCACGTCAACCATTCTCTGCTAATTTGGAATTTGAGGTGAACACTCTTCTCCCCTGGTTAACTGTTATAATTTAGGGCAATCTCAAAACTTAATTCTTACAACAGAATGAAAGTAGTTTTATTATCGTGGGACACTTAGAAAGCATTCACAGTATTTGTTCCAGACTTTCTGAATGTGATACCACTCCCCAGACACGCTCGTCTCTGCGGCGCTGTGTACCTGATCTCTTTGTTGATGGCATCCAGCTGTTCCTGAAGCATCATGGCCAGCGTCTGGGCATCGGCCTGCCCACTGGGCGACAGCAGAGCGGCCGAACTGAAGAGAGTGTCCCTATCGTCTTCGCCATCAGACACGTCGACATCACTCTCAAACGCTTGTGCCACATTCGCCAGCACGCTAGCTTGTTGGGCACGTTCCCAATCTTGTTCATTCAGAGTCTGTACCTACAAATAAGAAAACTGAATCTCAGCAAAGATGGAAAGTAACAATAGCAGTTACAGAAACTTCCAAAGAAATCTACCCGAAACTCTAGAAGTTTCCAAACGGGAGGCCCAAAGAAATGGGGAATGGGCTGTCCTTGCAAGCTGCTGACATCTGTGGAGCAACAAGCAGTATTTGAGGCGCAGGGCGAGGGGGGCGGCCTATCACCTACACTGCCTGCAAGGCTCATGCCTGCGGTGGACGCATTTCTGTGACGTCATTCACATGGTGGAATGACCAGCTCAGAAACAAAATCTGAAAATTAAAACAGTATCTTGGTGCCAGTCAGCCACGCTCACGGAGAGTAAAAAACCCATGAAATCCACGGGGGCTGGGTGCGCCTCAGTGGCCCTGATGTCTCACCAGTGTCCCCCCCAACGCTGGGGACCTGGAGCTGCCCGAGGTTCCCGCCCTCCCTTCCTGAGGCTGAGCAGTGAGGATGCGGCACTTGCCCTCAAGCGGCAGAGGCACCGACATGCTGAGCCCACACCCTCCCGTCCGAGCAAGCGGGTGCTCGCAGGCACCACACACAGGACCGACCGCACACAGCGCCGTGCGTGGGTGCGAGCAGAGGCTCTCCTGGGGCTTTCCTGCCCTCCTCCCTCCACACCCGCGGTGTCCCCTCCTCACTCTCAGCGGGGCGCTGCCCCCCCATCCCCGGGGACAGCCCTACCCGTAGGCACGAGGCCTGGCCCTCGCATGCTCAAGGACGTCATTCTGCCCTCTCTCCGGATAATCAACTTTCTACCAGTTCATTCACATCAGCCTAAAAATGTTTTCTCCCTTCTCCCTCCAAATGAACAAAACAGAAACCACTGAACTTTTACCCCAGGGCTCCTTCCAGTTACCACTGCGGCTCTGCTCCCAACCAGAATACCCGCTCCCCAGAACGCTGCCCCTATTCTGTCTACACACCCTCGCCTCCCAGACTCCGGAGCTTGTCGCAAGCGGACTCCCCCAGAACCGGTCCCAGCTCGCCAGCAAGCCCCATGCTACTAGTCCACCACTGCCCTTGACCTCCACGCTACCCGGCCCAGCGGTGGGACCGGGCCTGCCGCTCTCCCTTCCCCTGAGCACCTTGCGCACTGGGTTCCTCCTGCCTCGATGTCACTGCTCCGTCTCCGCTTGTGCACTGGGGAGCGCCCGGAGCTCTATCCTTGGACCTTGGGTCCATCCACAGGCGCCCAACTTGGTGACTTTATCTTGCCTGTGCCTCTAGACGCCACAAGTGTGTCCTGGCCTCAATCCTCCTCTCCAGTCAAGGCCTCCTCAGGCCCAGACTGGAGGATCCAACTGCCCACCCGACATGTCCCCCTGGGTGTCTGATGGGCCCGCCGACCTGTGTGCTGGGCCGAGGCCCCACGCTAGCTTCCACGACCCTGTGGTCTTCCTCACCTCAGGAGACAGACTTTCTCTTGTGGAGAGGTCCCGTGGTGAGGACCTGAGGCCTCCCACCACAGCCAGGCAAGGGAGCTGAAAGCGCACCCTCCACCCTGAGGTGGGCCTTCCGGTGGCACAACCTCAGGAGACCCTGAGCCAGAAACACCCTGCTAAACCCTCCTAAATTCACAGACACGGTGAACTACTGACTGTTCATTCTAAGCCACTAAGCTTCACAGCAAGTTGTTACACAGCAGCAGATAACTGACAGATGTACGCATCTGACTTTCCCTTGACTGGCCTTCCTTCAGTACACGCAGACAGCTCAGCCTCTCGTCTGTCCTTACTGCTGCAGCCCCGGGGCTATGTGACGCCTGGCCCAAAGTCATTCAATGAGGACGGGCGCTCAAAATACAGACACGTCTATAAAGACACATGCTGCTGACCAGACAAAAGCATGAATGTATGTAAACTTCCAAATGTGAATTCTTTTTGCTTAAGGATGAACACGTGTTTACTCTTAATATCTCAAAACTGTACTAATTGGCACTGTGCCGTGCTTAACCATAGATCATGCTTTATCCACATTTCTACTTTTTAAAAAGAAAGAAAAAAAAGCCCTAAAAGTAGATTCTTAGCCAGCAAAAGAATGGGGTGAGGAGAGAGAGAAAGTGACCAATCAGCAGTGTTAACTCCAGAACAGCCTCAAAGTCAGAGGACAAGGTAGGTGGCTTTCATGGAGGTGGGGGGGCCTGAGAGCCCACTGGGGACGGAGGCCCTTGCCTTGGAAGGCTCATCTCGCAGAGCAGCCAGACGGCCCTTCTGGGGGCGCCGCAACACCGCACTGCTGCTGTAGGAGTCCACGGGACCGTCTGCCACAGAGAATCGGAAATCAGGGACACTGCCCAAGTGCGGTCGGCTGAAACACGGGAAAAAAAAAAAAAAGGTCGTTACTGGAAGAAAAGTGAACTGCGAGCTTTGTCAGCCAAGCCAGAACCTGTCAGTTTGGAAAATGATTTCACAGAAAAAGGCCTCCAAGGAGGGCATCTGTTCCCCTTGCTCCTATAGCCCATTGCTCACGCTCTGCAGAGAGTGTCTCCGCCCCAGCAGGTGCAACACCTGGACACCCAGGAAAAGCAAGACAGATGCCCTGCACAGACAGGTGAGCGCGCCACGGCCCAGCTGTCTGGGAGCCAGAGGGCGGATGTGCTCTCCAGCTCAGAACCCAGCCCCAGGCCCGCTGTCCTGCATCTCCGTGCCCGCTTCTCTCCCAGGAAGCACACTGACCCATCACGCCGGCCTTATACTGCCAGCGTCCCACTTGTGCCACGGCCCATGGTGTGAGGCCTAGTGACCACAGGGATCCCTACACCTGCCACTAACAGGCGTCTTGAGGGCACCGGCGGCAGAAGCCTTCTGAACCCCAACTCGCAGCTTACGTGAACTGCTTCTGGCAGTACACCTGGTGTTTCCAGGTCAAAAGCACAGACCTGTGTGCACTTGGACTGACAGACAACCCACTCCCCCGGCTGGAGAAGTCCAAGGAAAGGCAGATGGAGCCCTGGGCACCTAGGAGGGAGATGCTGAAGCGGGCCGTTAGCGGCTCCCCTCAGGAAAGGCTCCGGACAAGAACTGGTCAGCAGAAGTGAAGGAGGGCGGCGGCCGCCAGCCCGCACACCTGGCCCCAGCCTCACCTCCTGCACCCTGACCCCGGCACGGAGTCCAGTGGCTCCTTGCTCCCTGGGAAAGAGGAGCGACTGCCTTCGTTTTCAGAAATCCTTAAGATCCTGGGCGACAGGACCCACTCATCTGATTAAGGTCAATTCAAGAGGGGACCCCTGGTGCCGCCCTGCGTGGTCTGCAGACAGGGCCGCTCCGACGGGCTGCCTCCTCTACCTGTGCCCCACACACCTCCCTGTGGCTTTTAAAGGAACGTCTTCATTCAGCGTGCTGGACGGTGCTGCTGGCCGCAGCCTCCCTCCCCCTCTAGTCCCTGCTTCCTGAAGCCGCCCACCTGTGCTCAGCAGGAGTTTGAGCACAGCCGCTTTGCGGACATGGCACATGGCAAAACCGGCAGGAGCTACACGCACAAAACCCCCCCCCCGAGTGTGATGTGGGGTGGTTCACAGATCCTCTGAAGGTCACGAGTGTCACTGAATTCTGACCCCTTTCCGGGGCTCACTTCCTCCCGAGCCCGCCACCCTGCCTCCGGTCGTGTCCCCAAGCTCTGTCCCATCGGCCCCATCTGCGTGTGGAAGCCCGTCTCTGCAACCTAGACTGTATCCTCCTGCTGGAGAAGGTCACGCCAGCAAGACCGGGGGGCTGCGCTTGCCAGCTGCCAGCCACCTTTCCAGTCCCAACCCCATGGCCCGCCCGTGCTTACCGCACCGCTTCTTCTGTCTCAGCTCCTACCGGCCTCTCATCTGCCACCGGGGCTGAGACCTCTACCTGAGACTGCTTGGAACACACCCCTCCCTCCGTCAGCGTCCTGCCCACGGCCTTCGGACCACACAGCCGCCCGTGACTGTGGCTGCCCCCTCCGCCCCTCTATCCTCCACGTTTGCTAGCACTCCCAGGACAGGCAGACACGCACAGACGCCTCTGCCACCACACCATCCCACAGTGCCACCCCTCAGGTTCCCACGCGGCCCCTTCCCTTCGGGACTTCAACTTCCGCGAGAGTGGCGGGTGCCGTGACCTCCTCTGCCGGCTCCCGCGGGCCTCCTCACACACGGATCTGCAAGCCCTTGAGCAGTGACACTCATGACCCTGGCCTCTCACCAGCAAGGCTCTCTATCAGCAAACCTGCTCTGTGCCCTGATCCTCCTGCACACTTCCCTCTCTCGACACACACTCGCGCTCCTCCAGGCTGTCCCTCCGGTGGTTCCACAGACGGGGACAGCTTCCGGCTCTGCCTCTCTGTGACTCTGCCTTCCCTGATGTGTCCTCCTTCCTACACGTGGGCTCAATGGGGACAGCCGCAAGATACCCTCGACCTTCCTGAGAGCCCACGTCTGCAACCGCAGAAACACCTGCGCAGCCTGAGTGCGCCTGCGATCCAAGCAGGAGCCGGCTTCCTGCAGACTAGAGAGGGTCAATCAGCTACTCCAGCAGCTCTCGTTCAAGTGTGACTCTCACGTGATGACTACGTCCCACAATGGGGCCGACAAACCCTTCAGCACCTTCACAGCACTTACACTACCTGCAGGATGCGGGGCGACCTGCTAGGCTCACGGGCCGGCTGACCCGCTCCCACAGCCGCCAACTCTGCGCTGTCCCAATAGCTTAAGGCAACTACATATCATTCTCCTTCAGTCTCTTAAAAAAACGTAGAAAACTGTAAGCGCTATGCCAAGCCCACGAATGTCAAGGTATCCCCACAATTCTGGCTGTGCAGCCACTCCCTTGGTGACTTCAGTGACCTCGTGGAGGGGCCTACTGCCCCCAGGTGCAGAGGGCCCTCATCTGACACACTGGGCTCCGTCCTCCTGGCCCCACACCAGCAGTGGCACACTCTGGGGGCCTGCAAATTCACCTGCCCACACATGAACTAATCATTCCCTACCTTCCAAACCTCTGCCCGCAGCTGTGAGCTTGGTCAATGACAGGATTCCCAGTCCCCCTAGTGCCCAAACCTAACCTTTCCCTCTTGCCTGCCACTAAGCTAGCTCCTGGCTCCATATGACCAAAGGCACACTCTTATAGGTACACACAGGTGCTAAAACAGGTATGTGTGAACTGGTTCATGTCAGGCCCATGGTTCATCTAGTCTGTATTTGCACGCTGGTTCGGGTCATATGCACGGCAAAGGGAAGCGGCCCTCGGCCTCATCTGGAACATCTCTGTGAACTGGTACATGTCATACCCGTGATGAAGGGGCGTGCCTCTCAGTCTTGTCTGGTCTAATTCGGCTCTCAGTGCTTCCACATTTAGGACAAGCTGATCCTACAAAAGAGCAAAGGATATCCGCTGTAGCCATCTCTTTCAGGATTCAAAATGATCTGCATCAACAGACTCTTAAACACAGAGCACACACTGGTGGTTGCCAGACGGTATGTGGCTGGGGTGGGGGTGGCATCGATGAAGGGGATGAGAGGTAAAGACGTATAAGCTTCCAGTTCACAATCAGTAAGTCACGGGGATGGAAAATGCTGCCCAGGGCACAGGGCCAGGGATGCTGTATGGGGATGGGAGGTGACCGCAGTGGTGGTGAGCACCGAGTGACGTACAGACTCGTGAGTCCATCCATGTGCCGTACACCCAAAACAGACCGAACACCGTAGGTTAATGATGAGTCAATTAAAAAATATGGAAAAATGATTTGCATCACGTGTGCTCAAACGTTGAGCATAACTACAACAGGATAAATTTAGCAGTTACAAACACCCAACAATTAATTTTGATCAAGTTTTCTCCAAGAGTCCTACAGTGAACATAAAAAGATCACCAAAATAACTTCATAAACCCTAGTGGACAAAGAGTTGTTAGGTCTCAGTCATAGCCAGCTTTTAGAGGATAAACACCAAGCCATTAATAATTACTAATTTTGTAGCAAGAAGAACTTTTTGGGTGGTGGGGAGAACAATGCTCACTCTCTACCGTGCATACTTCTCTGTTTTGTTTTTGTCTTGCACAGAGCATTTGTAGCCCAGCCTCACTTCTGTCCACGCAAAACAGTGAGCAAAACTGACAGAACTCTTAGGTCACCCAATAGCTCGCTAGCCATGCGGTCCCACGCAGTAGCCGCGTGCCACACGCATGTATCGGGTTAAGTAAACTAACTTCACTCGCTTTTCTTTACGGTTGTAAATGCAGCTTCAAGAATATTTTAGATGACACACATGTCCCATGTTAACCTCCTGCTGGCCAGCACTGCACCAGATGAGAGGTTTATGGGAACAGTTCACTTTCGAATGAACCAGAAAGGACTCGAATCCTGAACCATGCCCGCGTAGGACCGCTGTAAAGCTCATGGCAGTGGACTGCCGCGGGGGTACTGTGACCCCCGGAACACATATGCAGCCACTGTAACAGCCCTGAACTCTGCTCCACTCACGTCTCAGCGGCTCTCCAAAGGATTGAGAGAGGAAAGTACCTTATCATGTTGCGCTTCTTCCAACTGCTTCTTCGCAGTTTCAACTTCTCGCAATAGAGAATTCTGAAAAAGATATAGACAGTACTTTAGTGTTGGTTCTTGAAAATGTTCCACGCAATATAGTATGGCCACGCTTTTGTGTAAAATAATATGGTACCACAGAAAATGAGCAGGCTTACATGCCCGCAGAGCAAATGCGGACAGTGACGTCACAGCCTTTAACAATGAGTCCGTGTAAAACTTCTTCACCAATCGATTTTCTAAATGTAAGAATGACGAGTTCACAGAGTAAACTTATTTTAATCAGTTAAACCAGTTTGTACTAGATTTTAGGCTTTGTAATTCATCAGTTACTTGGGAATCCTGAAGTAAGTTTCAAATGTATAATTCAAATCTAAGATAAAGACATTCCTACATGAAGGCTGGCCCACTGATCAAGGAGCAGTGCGGTAACCAACCACCCTATGTGGTAATTATGCATTTCATAATGGGTTTTACGTAAAACAAATGTGTCATGTAATCAGCAGTGGTCACTGGTGTCTCCGAAATGAGCATGACTCCAAGGGCCAGTCTTAGGGAAGATTCTGGGCCCATCTTTAGGGACATGGCTGTAGCCAGAATAGATTTTATCAAGCTGGAGTCCAACTGTTGCCATCAGAACTTCTCTGACATAGACTTTAGGACACTCCTTCACTCCGGTTACAGCTCAGGTATTTCCAAGATGACGGCAGTTAAGAGCCCAGGCTCAGACTTTTTCCAAAGCAGATGAAAAGAGAGAAGACAGGAGACGGAAGAGGAGAATGTCTGTCTCCAGCTGACCACACCCCTTATGTAACACCAGGCTCCTACGGAGTCATCTTCATGAGTGGGGCAGAGATTAGCCCCCGAAGCTGGAGCATCGCGGCTGAGGGCTGGACACAGTTTCGTGCAGGGCTGAAGGAGGTGACATCCGGCCACTGCCCAGTGCTGGAGATCAAGGGTCACTGGCACACAGCCACACCCACCTGTCACCTACGGTCTATGGCTACTTTTGTGATAATTACTGACTAGCATGAGGTTATTTTACACATATTCACAATTAATAAAAGCCTATGACACTTACAATTCTGGCCCTTTACAGACCCAGTTTACAGACCTCTGCTCTAGACTGAGAGTAATACACACATGTCGGGTGAGGACAGGACGCTGGAAGTCAATTCAGTGAGTGGATAACAGTCTGTCCTGTTTCCTCGCCAAAGAATAATTTCTACTTTCTGTAACGTCTGTCGCCCGCTGTTCTGCATTACTCCTCAGGAGCAGAGCGTGAGCACTCTGTGGAGGGTGGGAGCCCCCCGGGGCATGATCTCGATGTCCCACCTTGTCTTCCAGAGCAGCCATTCTCTCCTTAAGATGAAGCTGAAGCCGCTCATTGGATTCAGAAAGAAGCTTGTCAACAGTGTCTGATAAACGCTTGTTATGTTCTTCATTCATTTTTTCTCTCTGCCTTGCCTAAGAGAGAAGAAACAAAAGTTTACAAACTTCAAGAAAAGGTATGATCCATAGTTTAGCTATTGTGGATAGCTGCTATAAATACTGGGGTGCAGGTGCCCCTTCGAATCACTATGTTTATAGCCTTTGGGGTAAATACCTAGTAGTGCAATTGCTGGGTTATAGGGTAGCTCTATTTTTAACTTTCTGAGGAACTTTCATACTATTTTCCAGAGTGGCTGCACCCGTTTGCATTCCCAACAGTGACAGATAAATGGATAAAGAAGATGCGGTGTGTGTGTGTGCGTGCGTGCGTGGAATATTACTCAGCCACCAAAAAGAATGAAAGCTTGTCATTTGCAATAATGTGGATGGAACTAGATAGATGGTCTTATGCTAAAGGAAGTAAGTCAGTCAGAGATAGACATACACCATATGATTTCACTCGTGGAATTTAAGAAACAAAACAGATGAACATAGAGGAAAGGAGGGAAAAATAAAACGAAACCAGAGGGGCGCCTGGGTGGCTCAGTTGGTTGAGCGACTGCCTTCGGCTCAGGTCATGATCCTGGAGTCCCGGGATCGAGTCCCGTATTGGGCTCCCTGCTCAGCGAGGAGCCTGCTTCTCCCTCTAATCCTCCCCCCTCTCATGTGCTCTCTCTCTCTCTCATTCTTGCTCTCTCAAATAAATAAATAAATCTTTAAAAAAACAAACAAAAAAAAGAAACCAGAGAGGGAGACAAACCATAGGAGACTCTTAACTCTAGGAAACAAACTGAGGGCTGCTGGAGGGGAGGGCGGTGGGGGGATGGGGTAACTGGGTGACGGGCATTAAGGAGGGCACGTGATGTAATGAGCACTGGGTGTTACATGCAACAGATGAATCACTGAACTCTACCTCTGAAACCAGTAATACACTATGTTGTTAACTAAATTGAATTTAAATTTAAAACTTTTTTTAAAAGAAGAAAAGGTATGATCAGTATTTCCAAAGGGCCAAGGACCAATGGCGTGACTCACTCGTGTGCCGCCCTGGGCTGGTCTCTCCCACTGCCATCCTTGGGGCACTCGTGCACCAGCACTGACGTATCGGTGCAGAGAAATGCAGGGACAAGTCCCCAAGATCATTAATTAGAAGGTCCCATTGTTTCTGTTAAACAAAGCACTCAGGGGGCCGCGGGAATGTCATGAGTTATTAACTCTCAGATGACTCGGAAGGCAAATTTACATGCAGGAACGAGCATATTTTTAAGGGGATCAGCTTATTTACACACGGGGAGGGGGAGGAATTTTCCCGTGTATAAACAGAAGCTTGGGTCTGGTTTCGGGGGGGGGGGAGGGGAATGAATCAAGTTACATAGCAAAATTTCGGGAAATTTTGGAAAAAACTCAGTGGCAACAGAGACTTTCACCTGTTTTTCTTTATGTTCTTACATCACCTGAATGTTCTGTAACGAAAACTTACATTCGAAAATTACAACTAATTACCTCAAGGAATTTAAAAACACAGTAACAAAGTTGACAGGTCTGTGTTTATCAAACCATCATCCATTTCCTGGTTTAAAGAGCTTGTGTTTGCCCCCTCTCCTGAAGGAAGACGAAACCTAAGGCGTGGGAACAGGAAGTACTCAGGGCAGCGGTCAGGACAGTCACTGAGGGCATCACCTGGGCCAGGGGACAGGGCTCAGGGGCCCGTCCTGGGCGGACGGCAGCGGGGACGGGGTACAGATGGGCCCTCCAGCCGCGCTGCCCCCGGAGGAGGAGTGAGCCCACAAGGAAGCACCACAGACTGGGCAACAGAGTCAAATCCCCTGTGCTCTGGCCTCGTCTGTAAAACATGAGTGCTGGCACCTGTCTTCTTGTAAGGATGAAACGGAGCAGAGAATCACGCCTTGCACACAGCGACTACCATCACTTGGAAATGACCCAGCACACCCCACAAGAAGGAATCAGCATTCGAGTATTTTTAAAGCAAAACAGCTTAAAAGACTACTTTGAATTGCCTTAGTTATAAAAGAATCCCCATCTCAACACCTGTCCTTTCAAACAACAATCCAGTCCTGAAAAGTAATGAAGTGCATCCCTCAACAGCTGAAGTCTAATTCCCTAAGAGGCAAGCGCCTGCCTGTGTGCACGCGTGTGTGTGCATGATGGGGGTGCAGGGGCTGACCAGCACGCAGCCCTGCGACGGAAGTCAGAATCCTTACTTCCCAGAAGCTCGTGTGGGACCCTTGGCAGCCCCTGGCCAAGCACATACATTTCTAGTGAAGACAAAACCTCATGGCCATGACTGACAGCCCACGGCGAGGTGCCAGCTGCCTAGGGCCACGGCCTGGTCTGTTCCTGGTTTGTCCACAGACATCTGAGCAACTCCTCCAGCGAAAACTCTCCAGGGATTCAACGGACAGAGACCTCCCATAACAGCTCAATTTCGGGTTTCCTCTTCTTAGGAACGTCCGTCCTGACCTATGCCTTTATGTCCGGAGCGATACTTCAGTATTTTAGGATGGAGGTCAGGCCTGTGACCTGAATTCAGGACCTCAGTGTCATGTCCTAGGCGAGCAGACTAATCCTCTGGGACGACGCACCTTCCCCTAAGTTTCAGGGGCCCCCAGCCAGCACCTCCAGTTTGGTTGAGGGGCACCTGTGAGATCCCATTTGCACGTGGAGCAGTTCCACTGACAAGCTCGTCAGAGCAGCGGGATATGGGGTCCCTGCACCCTGGCAGCACTGCCCAGGGGGCACCAGTCTCTTCCCCCGCCACCAATGCAGACATAACGTTGTTCATGTGGTGGGTGCACCCACCAGCAGAGAGCTTGCAGAGGAGGCCACTAACTCTGCACCTAACAGAATCGAGAAGGGGACCAGCGTCTGGGTGGGGAGAGGCAGGAAACAAGGCACCGCCTCCCCCTGCCTGAGCCCTGTGCTCAAGCAGCGCCCGGCGTGCAGCCTTTCTGCTCAGACACGTACCCGCTGCAGTTCCTGGTTTTTCTCCTCCAACTGCGCCTCCATCTGGCGGAGCCTCTCCTCAATGTTGCCGTGCCTCTCCTCGGCCTGTTGGCAGAAACACCGTCAGCTCAGCGGGCGACCACCCCCCCGTCAATGCCAGCATGCTGTGCGCGACCGCGGTAGCCACAAGCACTACATGCTCTGCGCGGGCTCTCCCACCGGCTGGCGTGGACATCCTCTCCTCCCGCCTGGAACACACCCTGTGCGGCCTCAGGTGTCACAGTGTGAAGCAGCCGGCCTCCCCACGCCGGTGACCCAGGCCTGGCCGGTGCTGGTGATGGACTCTGGTGAGGAGAGGGGCTTCTCCCCAGCCCGGCCCCGTCTCCGGGGGTGGGGCCTTCTCCCCACCCTCAGACGGCCTGTGCTCAGTCAGCATGAACAGCAGGAAGCAGCAAGCACCACAGAGCAATGCACACATGCTACCTTCCTAAGCTGGGAAGTGAGTTGGAACAGTTTAGCTTCCTTAGCAGCAGAGTTTCCAGAAGACAAAAGGTCAGACTACAAGGCCGACCAGGGACAGGAGAGATGACAGGGGGAGAAAAGAAATGGAGACTTTACACGCAGATCACAAAGGAGAGGCTGTTACAGCTGTTAGCAATGACCTCACTCTCTGGAACGGTCTGGTGAGTGCCCGAAGCAGTCTGACCGACCAAAATCAGCCTTCAAGAATAGCACCCGGGCCTGTCCTGCCCTTCTCACCCGGGCCCTCAGCAAACTGGAGCCAGGTGAGATGGAAGTACCGAAGGGCGTGCTCCTACTGGCTCCCTGGGCCCTGGAAGGAGGGACGGTCTGCTTCCTCCTCCCACGTGGACCCCCCAACCCCAGCACCTACCACATCGCAGCTGGACACTGCATCCTTGCCTGCTGGCGTCCCCCCGCAGATGTGAGGCCTGGGAGGGCTGGGCTCTCTCTTGCACATGCCTAGCCCGTATTTGTCGAACCCATGAGTGAATTACTTAAAAATTCGTTTATTATAAATTTACTTTATCTTTAAAAGAGAACAGGGTTTTCCTGTTTCCTAATCTCTATGCCAACGTGGGGCTTCACCTCACAATGGTGAGATCAAGAGTCGCGCTCTCCACTGGCTGAGCCAGCCAGGCGCCCCTACCCTTATTTTATCCAATTTTCTCCAAAGCTTCTATCTTGAGCTTTGAGTTGTTGACTTAATGACTCTGAGAAGCAGTGAACCTTAGATCAAGCCCACCGGAAACAGTATACATCCCTGACAAAACTGGAGGGAAATTAACGTAGGGATAACAAAAAAGGGGATGATTCCTGACATTTAAAAAGCGTTCTGATCTCAGACAAAATAGCACTGGAAACAGATCTGGGCTCTTTCGTGGATTTAGGCACACTGACATGAGGAACAGGGTAAGGAAGGCACACGATCCAACCACCATCAACATCAAAACCCCACCACGGGACCCCGAGCGAAAGCCAGGCAGCACCTTGGAGAGCGCCGCCACCCTCTGGGCCAGCTGGGCCTCCACCTCGGGGAGCGTCTCGGCCTTCCTCAAAGTCTGCTGCAGCTTCTGCTCCGCCAGCTCCAGGCGCTCTTGTAACTGCCGGTTTTTATCCTCAGTCTAGGAACGGAAGGCAAAGCATCAGAATGTGGCCAACCTTCTATCCGTTTCTATTTTTAATAAAATGAAACAAAATCTAAATGCAGAGATCTACTAAATTAGTTCTGACAGAAGCCAACTGTTTTGGTAGCTGCTTCAGAGTAAAACTTTTCTTCCTGTGAGGAATATACACCCACTTTCCTGGGCTCGATTTCAATGTGCAAAACACCTCTTGCCAAAGTATTGCTCTTCTTAAAGATCTTCAACGAAGTCTTTAAAAAGCAAAAAGTTCCCATGCATTAAAGAAAACCCATACTCTGTAGAAGCTTGCTCATTCTTCTTGACAACTTAAGGAAAGAAGGGTTCGGTCCTAACCCTGCTTAAAAAATAATCAGACTCCTCGTCTTTCGCAGACCATAGGCATGTGAACCACAAGAGAGCTCACACCTCCTCTGAAATACAGACCTTCTAAGAGGATGCCTAATGAAATGCTAGTCAGGTTATTTTTGTAAATGTATAATTATTCTTTAAAAACACACTCTTCATTCTAAAAAATCTTTCTCAATGAAGAAAATTTAGACAAGATTTTTTTTTTAAAGAAATTTTAAAAATCATGTGTAAGCTGAGGTTCCTGAAAGGCAAACATCTGCTTACATGCAGCCTCCTTTCTTCTGTGCGCATCTCTGTGTTTATATATACACACCCTCAGAAGAAGATACATCACGCTGCACGCAGTATTTTGTCATCTACCTTTTACGGTCATTATTTAGAACATCTTACATGCTCTTAAGTAGCATTCCACAAATGTAATTTTTAATGGCTTCCTAGTATTTTACTTTTTATTATTAACTTGGGTCCAATGATACACTTTACAACATATCAGACAAACTCACTTTGTTTCCAAGAGGCTGGATTTGGTTTTCCTGTTTAACTCTGGATGACCTGAGACTACCCAGGCAGAGAAGCCAGCCTGGCTTCCCAACCCACAGGAGGCTCCCGTCCACATAACAGACTGCGTTTCTGCACCTGCCGTTCACCCCCACCCCAGGTACCAACAAACTGCCAACAGCCCCCACGCTCTTGGCCACTCCTTCCTCCTTTGGTAAAAATGCTAACAAGCAACAGATTAACATACAATGAAAACAAAACAGAAGAAAGAATTGAGGTTACATAAAATCCTAAATAATTAAAAACTTGCAAGTTGAAGTAACCCACATTCGTGAACATAATTTTCTAAGATCATAAAAACTTTACATTGAGACTTGATTTCCAACATGAAAGTCACAGAAAAAAGGTCTTGAACTTTATTAGTAATTAATAAAAGTCGAACGAAGTTCAACAAAAGCCGCTACCTGCCGATGCATAGAGTCTTTATTTGCAATCTCATTTTCAAGTTTATCATTGAGGTCGTGCACAGAGGTGGCTTCGCGCTGTGCCGCGAGGTAGCGTTTTTCAAGAGTAGTGATCCTCTCTTCCATGTCTTCCTTCTGGGCCATGGCCTACATCAAGTATTTCAAGGGGAAAAAAGGCAAATAATTAATGGCTGACAACATCAATATACTCCAGACACAAAACCTGGACTAGATCCTAATTTTCAAATCAAATATAAAATGAGTGTCCTCTAAAAATTGAGAGAGATGCCAACTGTCTCCAATACGAATGAAAATATACCTACCTCCAATATCCCAAGTATTCCCCTACATGACCAGTAAAGAAAGACTCAGCTGTTTTAATACTACATCTGGCCACTCAGTTTACCAAGCTTATTCTTTCCTACACGATGTTACAAAAGAAACGTGGAATCAAATATCCCAACATTGCAAGACTGCCAGGAGCTGAAGATGTGAGCAGTGAAGGCGCAGCCTCTACTGGCCCTGATACAAGTGGGCTTTCACAGATCAGGGAGTGGCCTCTCCATAGACAGAGCAGTGAGACATGCTGTCATTTCCCTGTGTAAAAGCTGGATGAAATCTCCAATCACCACAAAATGGAAGCAATACTATTAACAAATGGAAACAAAACTCAAAGTCTGATATAATTAGATGCGACCTTCTGAAGCCTAATCCTGCAGCAAAATTCTATCACATGGTATCTGACACTGAAAGTGGGCCCAGAACTTTCTGCTCTGCCCTTCCTGTCCCCCACCCTAAAGATTCATCTTAGGTCCCTCCCTGTTTACTAAGGAACTTATGTCAGCAAAGTCTTAATATTAAAAGTGATGAGTCTTAAAAAAAGAATTTCAAAATTCTCTGCATATTAAACTCTGCTGCAGAATCTCCTACCCTTGCCAAAGAGTAATTTAACTAAGTAGCTTACATAATTTCTGCAAATATTTTTCTTTGTTTTAAACTCTTCCATGAAATTACCCACACTAAGCTACTACACAGAAAGTAAGCCTGTGCATCCACACTCAAGGGTGTGAAAGGGTCTTCCTGGAGAGGGGGGGTGATGGGGGGAGGGACGACGGTCTACAAAGGACAGCTTACAGTGAGTGACAGGAGGGGGCGCCAGAGAAAGTATCCTGCCCTTGGCCTGTTTTTGTAAACATGATCAGATTCTCATAAATCACTGTACACGCAGAAACGTTTGCCAGAAATGAGTATATGTCTACATGTTTTTACAGCACGATCCTGATGACCCAGGTGTGAGCAAATCCCACTCTCACTGTGTGTCTGACTGCCGATGTTCAAGAATATATGTTGTCCATATATGTTCAAACATAACCCTTCTGGGAGCAGCCAGGTGAGACAGCTAGAAGGCAGCCGGCACCACTCCCTCGGCGGAGCCGACAGGGGAGGCCCACGGCACTGTCCGCGAACTAGCAGCACAAGAGATACTGACGTGTGTACCGGAATGAAACGTGAGCCTGACGAAGAGTAAGTTCAGACAGTCAGACTCTGCAGAGGGGAGACGACCACACACAAGGGTCCCACCAAACACCCCACATTCAGCTCAACGACAGCGCGGCAATGTCTACTGTCACTCACTTCACGAACGTCGCGCTGCAGTTTTGTGTTCACTTCCTCAGACTTGATGAGGTCCTTCCTAGCAGTGTCCAGGTCCTCCTCCAGCTCCGCCACGTGACTAGAGAGGGCGGCCAGGCGCTCCTTCATCTGGCTCTGCTCCTTCGACTGCTTATCTATGATTTCCTGGAGCTCGATGACTTTGGCAAGGTCTTCCTCGTGGCTTAAAGAACCGTCAGAAGATCTCTGGTGGGGGAAAAATCCTTAAATAGCCTTGTTTGCCGAGCTAGGGAACAGAGCACTTCCCGGAAAGAGTCAAGTCCCACGGTCTATGCCGGCTGTCGGCTTCCACCACTCTCAGGAGCGCGCAGAGGACATCGGGGAAAGACAGAGAGAAAGCCTAAGCACTTGCCTTTCCATTTGTGCTCGGAGTATTTTCTTGTTCATGGTTCATGTCAAGCACTCCGTCGGTTAGTGTTTTCTTCTGATTATTCTGTTCTTTAAGAATCATTAGCTAAAAGCAAAGAACTGAATATGAGGGTGAGGAGATAAAGAGAAACTCCTCTTGGAAAGATGCAACTACAAGCTGTAAACACGGGACGGGAGAATACACAGCGATGTTGTCTAGCCTGAATACAACCAGGTCAACAACTAGGTTGGTGCTATCAACGGGACGATGGGAACATAAGGGACCATGCAACTCGGCAGTAAGAGCCTAGCACGCTGGTCACTGGAGTGGCCGGGGAGGGTGGCTCGCTGGTCAGAAAGACCAGTGACGCCTCATGGCCAGCACTGAAGGCTTCATACTTATAAAAACAAGGCATAAACCTTAGAACCCCTCTAACCAAATCCTCTGGTGATTTACGGAGCTTACCTCTTTGTGTGTAGCCCCCAGTTCTTCTTCTAACAAACTACACCTTTCGAGTGCTACTCGTAGCCGCTCCCTCACCTGCAAACAGAGGGGTGGGTGTGTATTTGTTTAACTGCTTCTTAATGTACATCACCCTTGGGTCCCATTCTCATAAGGTAACATGACAGAATGACTGCAATGTCTTTCACTGATGTTAATGTCAAGAAAACTGGCTTGTTGGGGCGCCTGGGTGGCTCAGTCGGTGAAGGATCTGCCTTCAACTCAGGTCATGATCCCGGGGCCCTGGGATTGAGCCCTGCATCAGGCTCCCTGCTCAGCGGGGAGCCTGCTTCTCCTTCTCCCTCTGCTGCTCCCCCCCACCCCGCTCATGCACCCTCTCTCTTTTAAAAAGATAAATAAGATCTTTAAAAAAAAAAAAAAAAAAAACTTGCTCTGTAACAGCCTTAAATTTTTACATTTGAGAGAAGTCTTCCCCTAAGTTATATTACCCAATTTTTAATGGCAAATCGATATACAGAATATAATAAATCTTAAGACATTTACACTAACCACTACTTTTTAACCATACAGAAGTCTGTCTTCTTACAGAACAAGTGTTTACAGGAGCTCGAGAAAATTAGAAGTGAACTGCAGACACACACACACACACACACACACACACACACACACACACACACACGTGAAGTGTGTCTCTGACAGTGTGTGCACACCAAGAAGCGCTGGGGCTCAGGGCACCTTTTCGTCCAGGGCTTTGTGGTGCTCAAACAAGGACTTCAGGGCTTTGAGCACCTCCACCTCGCTGGACACGCCCGCCGGGGACTGAGCCTGCCGCTTCACCACTGTCATCCGCAGGGACCGCTCATGCCTGGACACGAGGCACTCCAAGTGCTCCAGCAGCAGCTGGTGGGACAGGCCAAGGTAAAACCATGTTTAAAGAGCACTTGCAACTTCATACCTCAATTTGGGGCAAAAACCCCTTTCAATCGCATGCTATACCAAATGTGAATCCCTTCAATTCAGTCTAAAATTAGAGAAATGCACCCTCAAGAGTTAAAATAGCATTAGTTCTCATCATGACTCAAACAGGGATGAGAATGCTGAGCTCATCAGTCAGGGTCGACTCCACGGGGAAATGTCGACAAGGTGTTTAAAAGCCGATCGAGCAGATGGTGCCTGAGTTTAAAGACAGAAACAGCGCTCCCTAGGTGACCCTCAGACAGCATTCCAATAGCGAGGACGCGCCTACTGACCCTGGTGTTGTTTCTTTCTGCCTTCAGTTCCGCGATCTCTTCCTCTCTCTCCAGGAGCTGCTCCCTGCAGACGTTGAGCTCCTTAGTAAGTGCCGCGAACTCCTGGGGGAGGGGGCAACAAAAAACGGAGGGAGTCAGTGGGGGGTCTTTAGCCTCTGCGGCCCACCCCAGCCCACGCAGACTGCCCTGCCTCCACGCCCACCAGCCACCCCAGAGCCTCGCACGCTCGCAAGCCCCCGCCTCAGGACCCGCCTGAGTCCCAGGTATTTTACCGAGCTTGGGGCCTGACACCCAAGGGGACAGAGACATTTTCAGGTGCCTTGCAGATATGCAACTCAGAACCTCTGCTGAGGGGCACCTGGGTGGCTGAGATGGTTAAGTGTCTGCCTTCGGCTCAGGTCATGATCCCAGGGTCCTGGGATCAAGCCCCACATCGGGCTCCTGGCTCAGTGGGGAGTCTGCTTCTTCCTCTCCCTCTGCCTCTCCCACTGCTTATGCTCTCTCTCTCTCTGAATCTCTGTGTCTCAAATGAATAAAAAAAAATCTTTAAAAAAAAAAAAGAACCTCTGCTGAGGGGAGAACGTTAGGCTGAGAAGGCCACCGCTCATCCCCAGCCTCCTGTCCTAAGCCAGTTCCTGTCTGTGAAGACCACAGGGCTTGGAGCAGCCCCAGGAGGAGGCCGATAACACCCAAAAGCTGGTCTGTTAACCCTAACTGGCTCAAAATTGACCATATAAAATAGACTTTTCACAAATGCTGGTAGGCCTCTTGAGGAAAGGGACAGCTGAAGATTTATTTCTGTAGTCAGAGAACTTTCTAGAGGAAGTGTCACTGAGGTGATGCCAGGGTTCCCCCCACCCTGCTGTGGGGTTGCTCTCCCACAACACCGAGTGCTGCCCTGGGACGAGACACAGAGGTGGGGTGTCCAAGGAAGAGGACACACACTCTCCGGTCAGTTTTTCAACAAGCAAAACTCCTCCACAATAAGTAATGTCTTCGGCCAATGAATCTCCATATTTTAAGAGTTTTCTCTTTAAAGGACAAAGGAGGAAATAAAGGTTCACTTAACAATCTGACATTCAAAATACAGAAAGTGGTTGATTTAAGCAATTCTAGAAAATCAATTTATAAACAAGTGGCATACCTAAAGTTCATTTATAAATTAACCCTTTGCAGCTCAAAGGGAACTTGACCATGGAATGTACAGCATTCCCTGCGATCCGACTTCACAAGGCTGGTCCACAAAAGTCTACTGAGCCATGATACAGAACCGAAACAGAGCTGACCCGTGAACAACACAGGCTTCAACTGTGCAGGTCCACTTTTTTTTTTTTTTTTTTAAAGATTTTATTTATTTGACAGAGACAGCGAGAGAGGGAACACAAGCAGGGGGAGTGCGAGAGGGAGAAGCAGGCTTCCCGCGGAGCAGGGAGCCCGATGTGGGGCTCGATCCCAGGACCCCGGGATCATGACCTGAGCCGAAGGCAGACGCTTAACGTCTGAGCCACCCAGGCGCCCCAACTTTTTTTGTTTTTTAATATTTTATTTATTTGACAGAGAGAGAGAGAGCACAAGCAGGGGAAGTAGCAGGCAGAGAGAGAAGCAGGCTTCCTGCTGAGCAGGGAGCCCAATGCGGGGCTCAATCCCAGGACCCCGGGATCATGACCTGAGCCAAAGGCAGACGCTTAACAGACTGAGCCACCCAGGTGCCCCTGTGCAGGTCCACTTCTATCTGGCTTTTTTCAATAAACACACTAGAAAATGTTCTGGATCTGCAACAATTTGAAAAAACTGGCAGATGAACTGAGTAGCCTAGAAATGTCAAAAAACTAAGAAAGGGGCACTTGCGTGGCTCAGTCGGTTAAGCATCTATGTTCAGCTCAGGTCACGGTCCCAGGGTCCTGGGATCGAGCCCCGCATTGGGCTCCCTGCTCAGTGGGGAGCCTGCTTCTCCCTCTCCCTCTGCTCCCCAGGCTCCTGCTCTCTCTCTTGCTCGCGCTCTATCGCAAATAAATAAATAAAATCTTTAAAAAAATTTAAGAAAAAGGCATGTCATAAATGAATAAAATATATATGGGTACTAGCCTATTTTATCATTTGCTGCCATAAAACATGCAAATACTCAACAGTCCCATACATGGTGCCATTCGCAGCCAAGAGAAACGTAAACAAATGTGAAGATGCAGTATTAAATCATAACTGCATGAAATTAACGGTGGTACATGCTGTACAAGTGTGATAATTTTGTGCCACCTCCCGTTGCTACTGTGGCGAGCTCAAGTGCGGCAAGAATCTGCTAAAAACACCGTGACGCTAATCCTCTCCTGTAAGCAGTTCCATTCTCCAGTACATTGTGTATCGCAGTAAAAAGTGATTTCTTGTGGTTCTTGCATATTTTTGGTTGTGTTTACTGCAACACCATAAACTTTGAATAACACCTTGGGACTCCTATGAAGTGCCCTCACTAGTGCTGCTGGGAGTGCTCCCAAGAAGCAGAGAAAAGTCAAGGCGTCACAAGAACAAGGTGAACTGCCTGACACGTACGGCAGACTGAGGTCACAGCTGCAGCTGCTGCCATGTCAAGAGAAGAGAATCCAGGTGGTTTATGAAGTTGTCACTGCAGCTACACTGGCAGACGCAGAAACCATGCAGTTTTGGTGAAATCCCTTTTTGTCTCGTACTGAAGATGCAGCCTTTCTCTGGATGCAGGACTGCTATAGGAAGGTATACCTACAGACCCTGGTATGAATCTTCGAACAAAAGGGGAAATCATTACGTGACAACTTAAAGCCAAAGGAAGGTGATGGATCTAAAGCTGGAGAATTTCAATGCCAGCAAAAGATGGTTTGGTAATTTCAGAAAGAGGTCTGGCTCTAACACATGTCAAGGTAACAGGAGAAGCAGCTTCCACCATCAAGAGGAAGCAGACGATCCCCCAGACACCACGGAGAGAATCACCGAGACGCTGGAACTAACGTAACACTGCATGCCAACTATACTTCAACCGAGAAGAGACGAGACGAGAAGAGACAAGAGACAAGAGAACAGACGAGAAGAGATGAGACGAGAAGAGACGAGAAGAGAAGAGAGACAAGATGAGAAGAGGGAAAATCACCGAGGACAGGACGTCCACCTGCACAGGTTTTTCACGCACATGGAAGTGCCCTCTTTTGGGGGGACATTTATTCGTGAGGAAGGCAGGAAGGGGTGAGTGAGCTAGCGCGTGTGCGGAGGCAGTCTGTGATCAGGCCGGCCATATCTACGAAGCTAACCCTGGGGGGCTTAATGGGGAGACACAGACACCGGCAGCCGGTCCTCTGTTTGTGCAACAAGAAGACCTGGATAACCAGAACCTTTTCTCAGGATCAGTTCCACTGATGCTTTGTCCCTCACCCTGGGAGGTACCCTGACAGTAAGGGAGTGCCCTTTAACGTTCTTCTGATATGGGACAATATCCTGGCCACCCAGAACCCCACAAGCTCGACATCGAACGTGTCCAAGTGGCCCATGTGCCCCGGAGCACAATGTCTCTAATGCAGCCTGTGGGTCGGGGGCCATGAGGACCCGCAAGGCTCATTACACACGATCCTTTATGAAAAGGACGGTCAACACTATGAAAGCAAATTGCAACAGAGAGAACACCTTGGAAGTCTGGAAGGATTACACCACCGGAGATGCTGCTGATGTGACAGAAAATGTCGTGAAAGCCATCAAGCCCCAAACAATAAATTCCTGCTGGAGAAAACGGCCCACATGCTGGGCATGATCTCACAGGATTTACAACACAGCCGATGCGGGAAATCATAAAAGAGATTGTGGACATGGCAAAAAAGCTAGGGGATGGAGGGTTTTGAGATGTGGATCTTGGAGAAATTCAAGGGCTCACAGACGCCACCCACAGAGTTAACAGAGGACGACGTGACAGAGGAGAGCTTCCGGACCAGCGCCGGGGGGTGAGGAAGGAGACTCAGAAGACGCTGTGCCAGAAAACACAGTGACATCAGGCACCCTGGAGAGGGCTCCGCTTGTTCAAGACTGCGCTTGGCTTCTTGTACCACATGGACCCGTCCGTGGTACGGGCACCGGAGCTAAAGCTCGTGGTGGGAGTACTGGCGAGGCATATACAGACATTTGTAGACAAAGGAAGAGGCAAAATGTCAGACAGAAATGTACTTCCACAAAGTGACACCAGGTGTGCCTGCCTCCCCTGGGACAGCAAGGGTGCCACCGGATGGTTTTGGAGGCTTTGAATAGTTGTTTTTATGTAGGTGTGTGGGGCTTTTCTTGCTGCCCCAGCATCACCCCCACTGCCTCCTCCCCCTCCTCAGCCTCCTCCATGGGAAGGCCACAAGGAGGACGACCTTTACGGTGACCCGCCTCTACCCGATGGACAGTAGAGAACCATCATGGCGTACGTACACTTACCTGCTGTGTGTGCAAATCCAGTAAGTGTGCAGGGACAAGGTGAGTGAGATTTAACATAAAATTCATCATGTGCCAGTTGTTTTATAACTTTGCTTTCAAAGAATTACATTACCTCACAGAGTGCTTCTCTCATCATTGGAGAAAATGTGTATCATCCTATTATCACCATTGTTTTTTAATGTAGACTACATTATGAGTATGTCTGTAATACTGTAGGCTATAAAAGTTTTATAACAATTCACTCATTAGTGGACAGGCAAGGCTATGCTGAAGTAATCGTACTGATGACACTAGGTCACCATAAAGCAATCACACGTAGTAACACATGAATTGTTAGACCTGTAAATAAACAGGAACCTTTCACATTATCTTCTCATTTCTGATGTCTGGTGTTAGTAACAGTGTAACATCTGCGTGTTGCAGAAGAGAGTGCTGCTGCAGGCACTGACAAGTCATCTTGTAAACGGACGACACACTTAGCCATCGATGCAGCTCAGTGCTGTCACTGTATTTTCCTTGTAATTTTCTTAAAATTTTTTCTCTAGCGTACTTTGCTCTAAGAATACAGTATATAATACATACAGCACAGAATATAAGTGTTAACCGAGTGCTCGTGCTACCAGGAAGGCCAACAGGAGGGTCTCGGTAGTTCAGTTTGGGGGAGCCCAAAGTTAGAC